GGTAAGACCGGACATAATGCAAGAACCTGTCAGGAGGGAATTGAGGCCTCTGGAGATGAGTATAGTAACTAGAATCAATTAATTAGATGGTTTATGGTGCTTTTATTGCGATTTATTTAAAGAAGGTTGAGATTTTTGATCGGCATGCTTGTCTGATCGGCATGCTTATCGTGTACGTTATGCTACGTCACATCTGCCCTATTTGGCCCCGGAGTTTTTGACAAGCGAATGTGAGCTTTATTGAGTTACATTCAAATCCGTGACTGACCTGGTAGTGATCGACCTTTTCGCCGGTAGTTAAATGTAATACTGACGCCAGATATAGGACCCCTACATCACGGCGGATATTCTGAGTTATGGTCACATAATAGCCACTCCGAGATCAAGTTTGAACTCAGTTTGCATTATAGCTCAGCTCTATGTCTGAGCAATCTCATCGCTATATAAAACTATAGATATCATCATAAACGTCAAGAAACACACCAGGCATCCTCATCATCAATCTGTAAACAGAGCCGCGACTCCATTGCCAAACCAACTGCCTCCCTGATAAAAGAAAAGGTCATGAGAATCCTGAGACACATGTCTAAACCAAGCATCCTGACAAACGCCAACAGAAACAAGAACTAAGAAACCGCTCAAATCACAGGGTATCAAATTCAAACCCATCCTCCAACCCCACGACACAACAAAAGCGTCAAACTTAACCAACGCATCTCACAATACCACCTGAGTCTAGCCCCAAGAATTCCAACAATGACGCAACGGCGTTCGGCAAAACCAACCCTCCCATTACCGCAAGATGTAACAACAGGTTGGGAATATTCATATACGGCCAAATCATATACTGGTGTCGCTTCATGCAAACAAAGTCAGGGTATCACGCCGACGGATGACGTCCTCCTTCACCGTTACAGATCATGCTCCAGTTTAGGGAAGAAGGAAGCTAGGACGCCCTCAGTAAAAACAATTAAAAAAAGGGGGGGTAAAAGTAGGAAATCCATCTGACAAGCTCAGCTTGTCTCGCAAACTCCCAGGGGCCAGACGTTTCAGATTGTTGGAGCGAATGTCGGTTCCTTGAGTCAGATACCAATGCTGGTGGGATGTTGGTAAATGCTGCCATTTGAACCCATAGCCAAGTTAATTCAGAGTAGGGATGTCGTTATACCAAAAGACATAAAAGAAGATTCCATGGTCGTGTATCATGCAAAGGATCATACCCGCAACGTGCGTCGTCTCCGCTGCCAGGTATAGAGGAAAAGACAAGCCGGTTCAAGGGGATAGGTCATAAGTCGTCAAATCATTGTCGTCTCAAAAAGACGGGGTCGGATGAGGGCATAATCCAGCTCAATATGCTGCAGCAGTAGATCCTTCGCTTGTCGCAACAGCAACTAACGCCTCAAGACGGCCTAGAGAGCCATTGCTGCCAGGTCGTCCCTGCTGTTGCTGTTGGGTCTGTTGATGCGGGTGTTGTTGCTGCTGGGGATGCTGCGGGTGCTGCTGAGTTTGTGGGGGCAGTTGTTGTGGTGGTTGCTGATATTGAGGATGCAGTGGTGCTTCTTTGACGGGGAATCCACTGAAGCCAGTAAAGTTCGGATGCACCATCCTATCCACGTGAGCTAGCCGTGTATCTTGCTGCTCTTGAGGAGGTCGGCCGTCTCTATGAAGAGAAACGGGCCCATTGTACCATCCACGACGCTTATTTTCTCTCGATGTTGTAATAGATGGGGCCGAAACTGTGTGTTGATGGAGAGATCGTGGGGCAGAGGTAGGTGGAGGTTTGGGGCCCTGGTATACCGGAGGCCGCTCCTCAAAACGAACAGTAGGAGGATTGAGCCGCACATGCTCAGCTTGAGCCTGGACAGCCTTGTTTGCTTCGGAAGCCCAGCTACCCGCGCTATCACGAGGCGGTGTACTGTGGTTGATGTCAAGGCGGTTGAGGCCTCTCTGAAGGCTCGCGTCGTACAAGTTTAGGTTTCGTCTCTCGTCCTGCATCGGGGTTTCGGGGAGGTGGGGTTGATAAGAGGCTCGAATCTGAGGCTCTTGGTCGACCATCATGGGCGAAGGCTGTCTCCTTGGTGGTGTGGCAGGTGGGAGAGGGTCGAACGACTCGATACCGGGCAGGCGGAAGGACGACTGAGAAGTGGAAGGATTCGCGATCGGTGGTGGTGGGTTCGGACGGACAGATGACTGGTTCACAACGGAGCTTAGCTGACTGGGGTTCCCATTGATATTGCGGCTGTCTGGATGCCATGTTCTTCGGCGCCAATCACTCTCTGACACTGACTCCCTACGAGACCATTGAGAAGTCGATGAGGGAGTTGGGGATGGAGGGATGCCGTTACTGTTTGGCGGGAGAGCACCCACATTCGAAGCATTAGCAGGACCAGGCCCAAACATCATCGGTCTCCCCCCTAGTGCTCCAGGGGATTGAAATGGGTTTCCTGGAACACTCAAACGGCGGCCTGGTGTTCGACTTCCAGAGGTATACATGCTGTGAGATCGTGAGTGTGACGTTGCTGGGGAAGACACGCCTGGTCCCCATCTTGGGCTGCTCTGCCCAGTTGAAAAGGTGGATGAAGTTGGTGTTCCGAAATCACTGGGAGAAGCAGGTCGGTAGTGAGGGTAAGAGCCCTCCATAGCACTCCGGTAAGACTCCAAAGACAATCGCGAGCGAGGGTCTGCCATTACCAATGGAGGCGGTCGCCGCCTGGCATCTTGAACGCTGTAAGCCGAGCCGACAGAACTGACACTGGTGATACTCGAGGTAGAGAGCGATTTGGAATGTCCTCGTTGAGGACCGCCGGCACTACCACCTGTCGATGCTCTGGCTCGATTCCCGGCTTGCCTGATTCGATCGGGCCGCATCTGCCGTTGAAACCGGGAACCGGTTGCAGCTAGCGAGTCCATAGGAATGTTCTCGTTGACATGGACTGTCTGTGCATGTTGCCTCAAATTGTCGAGTCTTGAAAAGCGGCGAGAGCAGTGGCACTGGAATGGACGTTCTCCTGTATGCTTTCTGTTGATATCGGTCAGCATTACGACAAACCAAGACGGATCGAGGGACAAAGGAAGACCACAAACCTGATATGCCGGGCAAGATGCTCGCTCCGCGTAAAGCTCAAATTACAAGGAGGATAGTCCGTACAATAAAAGCGCTGCGACTTCTTCTTCTTGCCTGACCTGGGTCCGTCTGCTCCAACACTTTCGTCGTCAGATCCAGCGCCATCCTCAATGGTGCCAGTCTCTCCATCGGAATCGTCCATATCTACGTCTCCCGAGTCTCCTGATTTATTCGAATGCCGTGAGTCGTGACGCCGAGGCATCTTTGGTTTCGGTGGTTGTTCAGGCATCTGTATTCCTTGGGGGAAAGGACTAGATGGTAGTGGCTTCTGGCTAGCTAGGTTGAAAGTTGCCCTTGTCGGAGTCGCACCATCGTCGGCAGGTATTTGTGACTGTGTATGAGGGGCTGTGTTGGGTCGAGGAGTTGCGGTCGATGAACCCATGACGTCTTCGCGGGAGACCGTCATGGCCAGCGGGGAATTCACTGGGCGAAAAGCGGCCGCCATGGCGACAAAAGCTCGAACTCGATACTGGCAGCAGTATTATCGATATTAGTGACGATATTACCGTTGCGCGGGTCCGCCTCTCGGGAAAGGGCGAGAAAGATGCCCGGAGGGTTCAACGTCCTGGTCACACAGGTACGAGAATTCGGTCGGGTCTTCGTTATGCACCGCTATATGTGTTGTCGGGACTGCAATTTTTGCACTTGGATGCACCGACAATCTCACTGAGGCAGAAAAATGCGAGACGGCCAAAGGACTTAGCAGAAATCGCGAGGCGGGTGATGACGACCACAGGCAACCCTGTATAAGACGAAAACCTTCCGATGATGGGGGATATGGAGATAAGAAGTAATAGTCCGAGGAGTTAGGATGCAACAAGACACGCACACACAAAACGGAACATGTACAAGTTGACGCAGAGCGCGGATCCCAACGGGATAAAGGGATAGATGTAAGGGGTCAAGAAGAGAGACAATGAGGATGGAGAAACAGGGAGCGTGTGTGAGAGTTGTAAGAGAATGAGTAGAGGCGTTCTCAGGCTCCTACAGTACCCACGACCTGCTAACTAAGGCCCGCCTTAGAGCGTACGTAGAAATGCCGGCGGGGAGGGAGGCGTGCGTAGTGGTGATGCAAGCCAGCCAAGATCAGGGCCTAGATCCGCAGAGTGGCACAGACCAGGCTGAGGTGAGTTGATATTCTCTGAGCGACAACTGCGAAAGCGATGCAGTCAAACTCATTCGATGGAATAATTCGTCACTTCCAGGGCTATCCTTTGTGGTTGCAACTTGATTTCATCAAGGGATAACCGAAAAAGTCAAAATCGAAACTGTATGTGTGTTGCTTGCATACAAAGACTGCAGTAACAACGTAAGCCAGAACGTGCGTGACGCAGAAGAAAAAAAAAGGTTGACAGTCGCAAACTGGTGAGTTGAGACAGGGGCACAGAGGGAAAAAAGTGGCAGGGGCAAGCGTGGCGATGATGTATGTCTATGGTTGCTTTTCCGTCCCAAATCGATTGTCTGTGGAGTCCGGATCCGGGATGGATGCATAGAGGCAGGATGGAGTTGCCCAACTCTCTTGTTTCCCTTGCACTAAGACGGAGTCTTTGTTAGTTGCGTTGCCCGACCAATCAATCTAGAGGTCAGCCACCTCACGTAGTCGTGCTGGCTGTTGTCATGCTCATTGACCTGGATCACCGTGGGTTGAAAGTCCGACAAGAACCTAATTCTCTAGGGTTCCCCAGCTGGCTGCAAATCGAGCCTGGCACTGGATGGTCGTGGGTGTTGAGTTTCGCTGGGCACGGAGCTCTGGTCTCGGTTCAAACGGCGCCAACACAATTCTCCGCTTTGCCAGTTTGCGACCGATCACAGCTCGTCTCGTCTCGTGGGAACCCTGACAGGGCAAGGCACCGCCGGCTTTGGTGGGGAGCGGGTTACAGTTGCAGGATGAGTCGATGGATGCTTCTTGGGAGTATCCGTATTCCTTCCTAAGCGGTGACTGTTAGGCACGATAAACATGTATTCGAGGTGGGTGGGTGGGATTGCAGCAAGTCGGAACTATTTGATTAACTGTAGTATCCAGGCGCGCGGGTCCAATTCCAAACAGAGGCATCAAGTAACATGCGGACTGATTGTCGTTGCACAACACTTTGCTGAATAATTCTATCTTAAGGGCACATTGAACAGCAACTCATGCCAGTCAGAGCCGCCAGGTACAGGTCACCTGCACTGTTGAGCAGGGGGCGGGCCAGGTACATAGCGCCAGCATGTACCTGATATGACCCATGCGAGGTATAACCCTGCAAGCGCTGCAGCTTGATCAACCAACGAGCTGCAAGCTAGTGGTAAAGCAAGCTGACAGTTGACCAGCCTGTCCAAGGATGATATGGTCACTGAAAAGCACCTAGCCTTTCGGTGCGTTGTTCCTCGACCGCTTCGATGTATACCTAGGTAGTCATATCTTTCAAACTTTCCTAATACCAGGTGAAGTGAATCCTCAACGTAGCTTCAAGCATTAGTATAAGCACATGGTCAAAGCCTATGGGTGGGCCAGTCTCTGCTCATGCTCTGGATCAGGGCACAAACCAACTTGCAGGATTCGCGATATCGTCAACCCAGTAGGAGCCAGCATGCATGCGAGGGGTTGGGTTCTCAGCCTTGAGTGGATCAAGGGCCCCATGTCAATGAGGGTTGGAGACGGCGCTTTGATGGTTTTCACCCACAGGGACCCCAAAACTACCGCTGTGCGATGGTAAAAATAAACCTCGCGCCAGCTGCATGGTGAACCAAAAACCTGTGCTTGCTTTGACTCGAAGCGAAGCCGTCCCTGGCCGACCAGCCGCAAGGGCCGTGTCGGGGGCTTGGCGTTGAACTTGCTCCGTGCAAGTCCACAAATTTGTTGCAACGACAACACGATTCCGGCTTTCATCACAGTTCAGATGGAGATTGTCCAAATCTTATTCTCGGTTGCCATAGACACGCTTGCAGCAGCATACCTAGAAAGCATGATTCCAATAAGCGATGTCGAGCAGACTGGGAGGCAATAAGGATTGTTCATCGTCTCCCAGTCGGTGCAGATAATCCAGGTCATCTGGATGCAGCCGGCTTACCCATGCGATGTAATCTGATACAGACCCCTCACCGCGTCCCTAACATCAACACACAGTTACTTTTTCTCAGCTTTATGATAGGTGGGCAGGGGAATAATGGTGCCTGGATCCCGTAGGTCGGTGGGCTTGAGATTCAGGTCGATGATGAACATCGTGCGGGGAGTCAAGCTATATCAAAGCACAATGCAACCCTTTCAAATAAAGCCCATCTCTCCCGATGTTGAACATGTCTTTGCTGCGTCGTAATTCGCTTCCAATATCGCGGTCTGATAAATTGGAAGGTACCGTCGCTTTGAAAGCTCCAGCATGAAAGGTCTACCACTCGACACGTCCACGAGATCCATCCATCGCACTGGCGCCGTTGGGCGCAAGCAATGACGTGAAATGTCGCAAATCGAATACACATGGGCGTATCTCGGTAGCAGGTAACGGTCGTTGTGGAGTTTGAGCTGGCATTTGATAGTTTGCAGCATGAGGAAGAGGCTGGCCACTGATTCCGAAGATGCCGTGCAAGTCAGGACAAACTCAATGCTGACCTCGTATGACGCATTGAGGGTCAATTGCCAGCACACTGGTTCTCTCAATGCAGGCCAAACAGCAGGTGTCTCCAAAGTGTTTGCCTGCATGCATCTCACGGCGGTGTATGTTTGCGGATGGATCTAGCGTACCTGGTGGATCGTGGTCAAGAACCAGGTACTTCATTCATCCCATAGCCAAGGAACCACCAGTCCAAGCTCTACTACCCACATGAACCCTTCAAGAGGCTGGAGCACAGCAATAAAGCATTGTATCAACATCGAATCTAGCTCTAATCGACTCTGTAGAAGCCGATGCAACAGAATCTGTCCAGCGAGTTCAAGGTTCTGTCCCGCACCATAATTCTTCGCATAAATGAGGCGCACGGAGCAGAGCCAAGGCGTGCGGAGAGAGTAACATGGCTCGCATTTGCGTTTCTGTAAGCTCTGGCTGGACGTTGCGCATGCAGCCTGAAAGGAATGCATTTACAATTCAAGGCTCACAAGCTGCTCACCTGGTGCGCGAATGGAAGGATTCTAGTCGTCCACCGATGGATGGTGATCTGTGATCTTGCAAGCATCTTCCCGTACTCTCCTTGTAGCGACAACATATACAACACGCTGCTGTGCCATGGAACTTGTATGAGCCATGAACCCAGTAATACCATACGGTCAACGATCGACTTCGTTTCTCTCGCCTCGATCTACTGTGATCCTGAGGCGTGGAAAACGTCGTTGATGGGACGGCTGGTTGAAATTGACTTTTGGCGTCGCCTAGAGAAGGTTTCTAGAGTTCCTGGTGGTTGGTTGGCGTATCCCTTGAAGGGTCCTTGAGATGGATACTGTATGTTTTCCAGCCATGAAGGCTCTCTTTTTCCGAAGCGGCCAGCTCCGTGGTTGTTTTGTTCCTTCGTTTCGTTTCGTGCCTTTGCTGATCTGAGTTGTCAATTTTAGCTGTACCTTATAGGCTCTCCTTGGATGGAGCCGCTAATACAGAGGTCCCATTCAAATGGAAGTATCTTACAAGAGGTACAATATCTACCGCCTGAGGCTAGGGGAGGCAAGAGAACTTAGGGCCTGTATCTTAAGTGGTGAAAAGACTTAGGTACGGAAGTTTGGGTATATTTTAGCAGGCCTTTAGACCAGTGAATTTTGGCAATGTCAGAAGTCCTTGCTCCCTAGGGCCACCTAACCTCCCTCGAATACTCGACCCCTCCTTCCCGTCTCATCCTCGTTGTTGAACCCCTCGCCCCTCCGCTACCTTAGAGCTAGAGCTAGAGGCGGTAACTGCCCCACCCCCTCTGTCTATCCCTCATGCACGTCCCCCTCCTTCCCGTCATCAGTGCGTCCTGTGACCCTTTATCGATAAGAGATAAGCAGGTGGGATGTCGCCGGTCAAAAAAAGATGAGCACTTGATGGTGGAAAATAAACGAAGGATCTTCTAGCACTATCCACTGCAAGATTCGATGTATTATTTGGGCAGGTCACATTTGATTCGGTTGCTTACGACTATTGCTACAGCCCACTCTCACTTTCCTGCATCCCCTTGGATGCTATCGACACATCCCGATGATCTGAGAAACCCTTTCAGCCGCTGTCTGTCCGTCTTCATCTTTTAATTGGCTTAGATGCTGTAGCACTACTGCATCCCTTAAACTTCTTTATTCTCTTTGTTCGTTTGGCTTTGAGAAATGAGAATGATAACCATGTCCACAACGCCAAGCACTCAAAATCGGACATTTAGCAAAGCTTCTGGGACCAGCGTTTGAAGAGATGCCCGTTCTCGAATTTCATTGGTACCTTGGTTATTGGTGGCAATCCAGTCAACTGGCGGTGACCATTAGACTTCCAGCCTCTTTTCCTTCGTTTTCCTCTTTCAGCCGCCAGATCTTGAATGGGAGTATTGCTTGTCTCGGTGTTTTCGGGTACCTGGGGCAAGTCTAAAATTGGACAGGCAACCCGGCCGATACCCTCTGAACCTTTCTGCACAACTCGGCCTTGAGTTCTATCCCATCGCTTAATACCGTTTTCTCGCATCGGTATCAAGGATCACGATAGAGATGCGAGAATTGACCTGCATATACACTAAAACTACGCAACCAGCCGCCTCTAAAGCAGCCGCCGTTTGCGCCTCGTCGCCTTGACAGCTCCACTTGGCGTTGCTGATCAACATTGAGGGTCTTTCTTCAACTCAATCGCCAGGCTCATCATGACGAGCTATACTGAAGGTTTGGCACGTCTGTTCAGCCTCGAGCTTCTAGATGGATTTACCTCCGGTGCTATTTCCAGGCACCAAGTACGAGACATTCTCTTCCCGAAATAGCATGTAACATGGGGATTCGCCAGAAGCCTGGTCCTCAGGAATGGATGAGCCACAGACCAGCTTACCGCCTTCTAGTCGTTTCCAACCGCTGGTTGCTAGGAGACAAGCGCCTCTTTCAATATTGTCGAATACTATACGCATGCCTGGGGAGCGCAGTAACTCTCGATATCCCTCAGTGTAAAAATCATCTCACTTGATATGTACGGTACCTTAATCGTTCCTGGACTACTGTCCGAGCCCTCATCCTAGCCTCTGGCCTGGTCTCCAAACCATGCCACCAAATGCAAGGCACGGTGCAGGTTGACGACAGACCTATCCACCAGAGTAACATGGTCCCCAAAGGATGTCACACTTGCACCCTTGACCAAACCTCCATGTGCTGGCATGCACACCAACTCGATGTTGACGACGACATTCGATGACCCTTTTTTGGGGGACACGCAGTTGAGCCCCGCGCCCGCTTATTCCGACCACACCCATGTGACGACTCCCTCCAGAAGCAGGGGAATATCACTCATGGGTCGGGAGGTGGGCGACCGGTGAAGCAAGGGACTGCGACTTGACTGAACCTGCAACGAAATCCACTCTGTTCGTCGATTTCAAGTATGTTGCCAGCCGAGATATCTCGAATTTACCTTGGGCCCTCCCTCCATCCTTCCCAACCTCGCTATTCAATGTTTTGCCATGTCCTGGAATTTTGAGGGTTTCTGATTGTCTTATCACCTTCCACACGGACCCTCAATTTCATGTCGTCTTGAATTGTCTTTGTTTCCAAGCCACATGCTAGTGGCCATGCTAACACCATTGCCCGATAGAGGTCCACAACATTTGTCAATTACCTGTCTTGTCCTGAACTTGTCTCGTCTTGTCTTTAACCTCTCGTTCAGGCCTTTGATCCTACACCGCTCTTTTATGCTCAAACCCAAAATTCGGAAGCTTTAACTGCTTCTGGTGGATCTTCCATCGACATGTCTCTCATCGCCTCAGCCTCACTAACTGATTGACCTTGACCTTTAAAGTCGATTCTCAGATCAACAGGCCTGCGATCGTGAAGCTGAACCTGGATCTGAATGCAGCTAACTCTAGTGGGTTGGGCTTCCTCTTGACGGTCGGGTTCTGAACCCGACTTGTCCCCAACAGACATGGCTGCTACGCATCATGACTGCATGCACCTCAAGGGCCTTTCATGCAGGTATCCTCATTCGCGTGCGTGGTTGCATGTACGTATGTACGTCAAAGTCTCATGATTCGATTCACGATCTTCCTGTGCAACCCTTGAAGTCTAACTATCACTATCGCATATCGTGCGAAGGTGTAGCCCAAGTCTGACGGCCCATCATTCCTCGGTTCTGTGGCCACGTCCAATATCTTTGTTTATCAGAACTGTTTCTCGGTTCTCTTCGGTGCCTTTGACCTGGTGTGCTCGTGCTGACTGCCCCTCCCTGCGCCATTCGGGGAGTTATGGTATATCGTACTGTTGCACAAGTATTGCTTTCCTACCGTGTCTCTTTAACGGCGCCTCTGCGGAGGCGATATTCCTTCTGCATGTCTAGTGACTTTGTCCGTGTGTTGGAGCCCGAAGTGTTAAATGATGAGCTACCCTTCATATACTCTCACGACTCACATCTAGACCTGGCTTTGAGGCTCCGTGATCAACGCCAAGTAGTTTATTGCCTTAAGCTGGGGGGCATCCCCGCATGTGATTATCCTGCAGACTAAACTACTGATACTCCAGATGTGGTAAGAGCTGACATCATGATGGTTCTAGTGTCGATCCCCAGGGTCCTTGCCAAATCGTACTGTTGATGCTTCGACGTGGTCTGCCCAGCGGTTGACATGGAGTAACCTTCAGCTACCGCGTGGGGGTGCTTTCTCTTTAGATATAATGCGGCGACTTGTTATGCACTGTGCCTGATACTTAGCAATTGGATTATTTGTTACAAACCTTGAACTTCTTTCAGATCCTAAGTGATGGGTGGCCATCGTCTGTTATGGTGCTGCTACAGGGTAACCTATTTTGATAGTCAACATGTCTAATTGTGAATCACACCCCAGGAAGATGCGTTGCTCTTTGGCAAGTGTCTGATTGACATGATAAACATAACAGGCGGGGTTTCCTCTTCATTGTCGTAGAAACTGTTACGAAGACAAGCTTGGCATGAGTGTTGTATTCTCGAACCCAGTCCATCCATCCCCAACTATTAAACTTACGTACATGTTAGGAATTCAATCTTTTGCCCACCATATCATGTAGTTGGAGAGCACTCGGAAAAGAATATCTGAAATGTGTATCATTAAACATATTGATTTTCGTACATAGTCATATCTAACAGTATTGGTGTATAACGCGAGTGACAGACAGAGCTTCCCATGAAAAACACCGCAAATTCGTAGTCAACTATTCATGCAATAGATTCTTTTGCTTCACCATGCCCAATGACAAAATGCAGGGCGACGTAACAATCCTAAACTTCATCTCATATGAGTATCAATGCTCACAGCGTCATAAGGCGCCATCTATTAAATATCCAACATACTCCTGATTTGCTGGGGAGGAGCATTAATGGAGTTGTTCGTCTCGGTGCTATTGCTGCGACCGGTAGATCCGGGACGTCCGGAGGATCGACCCCGGCCCTGTCCGTCCATATAAGGAGGGGGAGGGGGGCCGTCGAGTCCAAGTTGCGCTTCACGGCGAGCTCGGTCCTCGGCGAGGTTGTTAGGGAAGAGAATGCCGGCGACGGCTTCCATATTGCGCTCATGACGGCGACGCTCATTCTTACCAGTGTATGGCTGGACAAACGTTCGTGAGGCATTGGAGCTAATGGAAGCAGTGCCAGCCCGATCAGAGCGTGGGTTATTGGAAGCGTCCAGGGGGCGATGCATGTGGCCCATCTCGATATCATCATCTCTGGCAGCAGCCAAAGCCTCCTCACGTAGGTCTCGCTCCGCATCTCCTTCAATACGTCGACCAGTGGCCCTACCACCTCCGATCTCATGAACATTGCGAGTAAGCTTGTCCTTGAAGCTGAGGAGATGGTCACCCCTGACACGGTGCCACCAGGCAGGCTTGTTGACGATGCCAAGTTCTCGGTTGATCATCTCACCACGCTCTCGTCTCTTGCGGATCAGATCCTTGTCCTCATTAGGGCTGAAGAAACCGTAGAGATACTGAATGTAAAGGATGAGCAGAGTTGGCAGGAAGCCCCAACAGTAGATAACAGGGATGTTTCCGTTGTACTTGACGATGGAGTAGTCAAACTCCCATGAGATGAAGGCCTGATACGCGATGGTAGCCGCTGACAGAGGGATGATAAGCCAGAAGCGGAAAGGGATGTATCGAAGGAAGCCAACAGCGCGGTTGACGATGCCGCGGTGTCGGGGCTTATAATGCTTGATCGAGTGATGGAGGGAAAAGACGATAGTGAGCCAGGCTACCACGAGACAGAAGGCGCCGACCTTGAATCGAGTATTAGTTGCTCCAGGGACCGCCTTGGCCAATGTCTGCTCCTCCGAATGCTGTAGTTGGGTGAATTTCCAGCTACGGGGAACAACCATGAAAAAGTTTAGCCACAGCCAGAGGTAAAACCACAACGGCAACCAAAACTCAACCTTGGAACGACGGTCATCGTCGCGCAAGATAAACGGATTAGGATCGACATATTGCCTTTCTTGCCAGGAGCCCCAATGACGAACAGCTTCCCAAGTCATAGCGACAGTGCCCATGCAGAGGAGGTACCAAAAGAAGACATTGACAGTGATGGGCAATTCCTGGAGATAGTACCGGTCGATATCAACGCCGACAAAGAGACTGATGAGAGCCGCCGCCGCACTGAACAAGGCCCAGTACCACTGCCAGCGACGACCGATGGGATAGAAGCGCGAATCGCGTGGCACGTAGAGTTTTCCATGCTTGGCCAGGACAGTAAGGTTGAGAACAAGAGCAATTCCAAAAGCAACAGCGAAACCAATTCCAACAAAACCACGAGTCTTGATGTTCTCGATCGCGGAATAGCACTTAGTGGCATTGGTCCATGTACCGTTCGGGAAGACGTAAGCCGGAGTATAGGGCGCAAAGGTCAGGTAGCATTTGGAGTTGTTGGAGATGGTGTTGTTGCTGTAGAATGTGTAGTTGAAGTATTTGAGGGTGGTGAGGTTGAAGTGGACGCCGCCGAGAATGGTGTCGCTGCTGTTACCCTTATCACCCTCTGGCCATTCATTTACGGCACGAGCCGAGATATGGGCAAAGGCCTCGATCAAGCCGTTCATGTTGGGCAATCGATGTCGAGGTTGACGCGAGTGCGTGTTGTTTCGTCTGCCAATGCGCTCTGGAGGGTATCAGGGTCGTTTCGAGTATTGAGGAGAACACTGCAAGCGGAAGACTCGAACGAATCTTGAGCAGATACTGTGTAGTTGTCGCGATGCGATTGCTTATGTATATACGGGCAATTCACCCTTGAGGAATCGAGAGGGTTGTCAATCAGTAGAAATGAGTCGATTCAACAACAGAACGCATCAGGACATGGCTCAAATCGACGAAGATCCCAACCGACAAGAGATACGACGACGTCGAGATGAAGAAAGGAAGAAGAGAGAAGTAGGAGGGAAGTGGTCAAGAAAAACAAAATATCGTTGGTTAGATGCGGATTGGATGGCAATGGGATATGCCGGGCATGCCGTTGCGATGGAGAAAAGACTCGCGGCTGAGTGGATGGCAATCATCTTTTTTTCTGGGTACGTATTTCCGAGGGTGTGGAGGTGGAGACGCCGAGCGGTCCGTTTTTGCATGTTGAAATTCTCTCATACTGAATTATTAGACACGGAATACTCGGGAAATGAAGATTACAGGCGAAAAGGATCAGCATTGATTATAAGAAAATACTGGACTTTCTTTAAAATCACTCGCAGCCAAGTCTAACCAAAAGACGCCAAGAATTGAGGGCTATTCAACTCTTCAAAGCACCTGCATCATGCCATTACCCGGCATCAAAATCAATCCACTTCTAGCACCCATGTAGTGATGACCTCACTGTAGCAGGCCCTACACTCAAGCGTTCATTGGTTGCTGTGCCAAACACAGGGCATTCTCCCGCTAATACCGCTGCTACTGTACGGACGGTTAGTAGGCACATTTAATCCCCGCGGCGATGAGATGGATCCATTCTGCTCCGTCAGAGCCGCCAAGCCAAAGAGCTTGCTTCAAGTGCCTGAGATGCGGAATGGTAAGGTGAAGGGTACGTACCTGCGGGAGAGCGATGCCCGAAAAGGCCAGCAAGCTTCCAGAACACCCACCAAGAGCCAATTGCACACTTTAAGCTTGCGCCAACATCACCAGCTGTCAACGGTTGTAACCTCGAGAGCCAGCAGCGAGATCGTATCCATCTATATACACCATGGCAGAAGACATCATAGCCGACGAAGAACCGTCGTATATCGACTACGAGACCTTCCTCGACCCTGATTTCTCCCCCGCTTCCTTTGCGAATACGCTCGTTGTTTCGACCAATAACCCTAACGATACACCCCTCGACCTCTCTACGCCCCTATCTCGTGTTCTCTTCGATGCTCAAGAGATTGACTCGCATATAGATGTCTTGACGACCCGCTCGGCCGTCCCATTGCTCAGCTATACTCAGGAACAGACACAAGCATCCAAAAACATTGTCGGTGAATTGGATGGCCAGATCCAGAGCTTGAACGACAGCTACCGCCAGCTTGAGAAGGAGGTCATTGATAAACATGCTGAAGCAGATGAGGTCCGACTCGTCGCTCTGCGGCTATGGGAGACTCTGAAGCTTGGTCGCTCGGTTGGACGATGCTTACAGCTTGGTCGACAGCTTGAGGTTCAGCATTCGGAGCTTGACAGCGGAACCGGCAAGGAGGACCATCGGGCATTGGTACGCTGTGCTTACACAATTCTCTCACTACGAGAAGTTCTTGATCGTAAAGCTCCCGGTGAAGAAGGCTTTGGACTCAACCGTGTGGACGCCGTCAAGAGTCTGCAGGATACAGTCATAACTCCCATCGATCGATCAGTCCGCGAGCGGGCGGAGCGCACCATTCGCGAATTCTCCGTGCAGCCAACATCGACCTTTGCACAAGTTGAAGAGATCAAGGCGCGGTCAGCATCTGCTTTGACCGCACTCTACCTGCTATCACCAACCACCGGTTTCAAGCCCGACAAATGGGTTCCAAGGCTGCTGCTTCAGTCTTTGGAAACCTATATACGATCGGCACTACAAGCAAGCATTACGGCATTATCTCGTTCTCTGGGCCAACTACCAACACTGGATAAGGCCTTGGCTGATGTTATGGCCAAGTGTCAAAACGTAGTTTCCCTTGAGGCTGTCCTCGAGACTATAAAGCCACCAGCCCACCCTCTTCTCCCAACCTCCAGCCAACCGACCCAATCGAGCTTACTCCAGTTCCTTCTCGCACATCTTGAGACTGGAAGCCTCGCCTCATTCTTCTGGAGGACCATGGCTAGCAGTCTCGCTACGCGTGTGCAGGATATCATGAATCGTGGAGGTGTCGTAGCTAGAACCCTACGAACGAATAAGAACACGGTTGGAGACGCAATCCGCCAGGCCGTTGTCAAGGGATCTCAGTTACACAGCGCATTGACGGGATCAAAGGCTAGAACGAAGACGGAAGTGAATTGGGACCGAGAGGTCGCTGTGATGGTGGGAAGTGTAGTGAACAATCTTCGATAAACTTGGCAGATCAAAAGCATAGCAGCGATCAGGGCATCACGAGGAGGTCCTCAGCTTGTTTGGATATTCGTACTGTTAATGAATGTGGATTTGTCTATGTGATTCACCAGGACCAAGCATATCTGAGTTGTGATTCAAGCTTGTCGAACCTGTATCTGATTCATGTTCTAATAATAAAAGATCGTCAGGTCGCATTTAACGCCTCTTTGATCAGTCATCAAATGCCAAGTGAGCTCCAATCAGGGCACAAGCTCTCCCCGCATGGAGCAATCTCACGTAAAGAGGACATCTCAATCAAGGGAGGGACTTTGCTTGTTTCAGAATTGCAAACACCTCAAAACATTGTGGACAAAACCTATCATTACAGTATTATTACACCTTCTTATACCCCATTCACCCTAAAGCCAAAACAAACATGGCACCAAATCAAGGCCTCGTTCATCCAAAGGAATACGATATCAAGGATAGCAACGTGGAGCTGATCGGGTCCGATATTGACCATCAAGTCAAGTACAATTCGGCACTTACGGAGCCAGCTTGGAATGATGGCAAAGTTGGCGTCGAGCCTGGGCTACTTATCTGGCGCATTGAGCAATTCGAGGTCATTCCTTGGCCGAAGGAAAAGTACGGCCAGTTCTATGATGGCGATAGCTTTATCGTACTCTTCTCGGAACTGATTGGCAGTAATGATGGTACCGAGAAGCTCGTTCACGACATCTTCTTTTGGCTGGGAAAGCATACGTCACAGGATGAAGCAGGTACCGCGGCGTACAAGACCGTCGAATTGGATGAGTTCCTCAGAGGCTCGGCAACCCAACATCGAGAAATTCAAGAAGCGCCTTCAGATGACTTTCTAGCACTGTTCCCACGAATCTCTATTCGGTCTGGCGGAATTGAGTCTGGGTTCAGACACATGGAAGAAGAAGAGGAACCAAAGCAGACGCTCACCTTGCTGCGTGTGTTTAAGAACCCAGCCGCTGGCGCCAATGGAGTTGTTGTTCACGAAGTCGAGCCCACCTGGATAAGCCTAGACGACACGGATGTCTTTGTGCTGGATGTTGGCGACAAGATCTGGGTATGGCAGGGCAAGGATTGCAGCCCAATGGAGAAGGCCAAGGCAGCTCAGATCGTACATGACATGACTGTCGCAAAACACTCAGAAGTCGAAGTTATTGCACAGACTGAGTCCCGCTCACGACGAATTGTCGATCTTCTCGGCGGCGATGACGAAACACCCCGCGAAGGCTTCCACTGCAAGAAACCCTTTACTCCTCGCACCGCTGACAAAGCGTCCAAGAAGCTGTTCAGACTCAGCGACGCATCAGGACAGCTCTCTTTTGGTCTTGTCAAGGAAGCCGAGCGGATATTGCATGATGACCTGGAGAGCGACGATGTTTTCTTGCTTGATGATGGCGGAAGAGCTATTTGGGTCTGGCAGGGAAGCGGATCGAGCGCCGCTGAGAAGAAGAGCTGGTTCAAGGTTGCGCAGGCATATGTGCGGCATTTGCAGGCAGAGAGTGGACATGAAGATGCATATCTTACGCCTGTGGCTAAGGTTGTTGAAGGTGGCGAGAGTCGGGCATTTACGAGAGCTCTTGCTGCATGAGTGCTTCGCGAGGCTGGTTGAGTCCGACCTGAAGTTGAGTTATGAATATGCTGAAGATTAGTCAACGCCTCTCATTGAAAACGGCAACTTGCATCTTCGCGGAGGATCGACGAAGATATGGTCCAATACTCTTTTGCTGCGATAGTGTGTGTCCAAGCTTTATTGTTTGAAGCCCAGTCAGTTCCCGCTTGAAAGCTTCCACGTCTCTTCACAGAAGGCGTTCTAGAAGCAGGGGTCAAAGGCGCAGGGAAAGTTTAAGCCACCTTATGGGGCTTTTAAGCATATGAGCATGCTCGATACAAGGACTTTTGTTGTCTTAAGAAAAGAAAACTGAACCTCTTGTTGGTGCTTTTGTCTATATACGCCGAGTAGGATTGAGAGGCAGACCTGTGGTATCGGTAAGTGGGCGTTCGCTTGCCCAACAATGTGCATCTTACGAAGGATCGTCGCCTGAGGTGAGATAAGAAGGTGCTGACTGCATGAAAGTCTTAACTCCGTCCGATTTAATGATCTGACGCGTGTTCAGAAGACTTCGCGCTTATTTGAGCCGTTGATTTCTTTAAGCTTTGGCTTCGTTATCGACGTTCCCGAAGTCTAGTGACCTGATACTATTTCCTTGAGAAGCTCATGGTCGAGTCCAACATGGCCATCAATACGCATAGTTTACCTTGTATTGCCGTGGTCATGACATATGCCCTGCCAAACTCAACTGCCACGCCGTGCGGTACTGGTTTCCGAACCGTCTCTCGGCGCACATACGGAAGAATCATCAGTTCGGGGTTGGCATAACCTTGTAGACTTGTACCAGCCATCTTGATCATTCATGGAGCTTGAAACTACACTCATATTTCCCCTCTTTATAGCGTAAACTTTATTCTGTCTATAGCTGGGGACAAACTTGGATGAGAAATGCAACATGAGTGGCAATTGGGCCGCCCGAGTTTCTGGGTTAGCTTTTTTACCAGGGACTGATTGACTCCGATGCTCGCTCCTTGCACTGAACAAGAGAATCTGCCCGTTGCTCAAAGATTATCAATGATTTGTGAGCTTATTCTCTTGGCATGTTGCGGAGCCCGTGAGACAACACTGACGAGGCCCATGTGTATTGTCTGTTAGCGTTGACTGGACCAACAGAATCATGCATGACCACACCACGAGGAACTCTTAAGAGGATACGGTGTGATAGCGCAAATACTAGAGTTGCAGCACATACAAGTCAGTAGTTACAGTGAACAAAACATCAAACAAGAGCCTAATAAAGTGCCTCGTGCAAGAATTATACAAGGGTCGATCGGATAGATAGTGCTAGTCGGCTTGTGGGGATGCAACCCAATGCTAGTGATTCAGCCAATACCAAGCCATGAGAATAACAACCAACCAAGCTTATCTTGGACCTGGCGAATGCACGCCACTTACATGGGGCCACGGAGGCCCATTGCGTACGACGCTCTGAGCGGCTACAGACACTATCGATTTCACTGGCTGCTCGTTCTTGGTGATCGTCATAGAATTCTTTGCGGGTGAATCCGAACCTTCCGCCGGTATCCTACAAGAGGTCCCGCTACCCCCGATGACCCAATTCAACATGTTGAAACTGGAATCTGCATCAGCCTCAATAAACGTTGTAGTTTGTTGGTTGTCGCTGCCGAATCTTGTCAGTGACAACATCGACGGTAAAGCTGCGTCAACTGCATCCACAACAGCATACCAAAAAGCAAACCGATCATAAAGCCACTGGGGATAAAAAATCCTCATATGGTTTTTCTCTCCATCAGCCACAAACCATCGGAATAAATCGAAATGAAGTTTACATCTCTTGTGCTCTCGGCTGCACTCGCGGCTACAGCGCCTCTATCTCGAAGCACTGATGTTCGACTTATCACTTACAACATTCGCCTCGCACCAAACAAGCCCCAATGGGGTGAGGAATTATGGCCCGTTCGTCGTCCACGCTTAACAGCCCAAATAAACTACGAGACTTCTGGAAGACCTGAATCCATTGTGTGCATGCAAGAAGCATTGTATCCGCAAATCCAAGACATCCAACAAGATCTGGGAAGCGAGTGGGACTACTATGGTATCGGCCGCAGAGGCGGCCAAAGTGATGAATTCTCCCCAATCTTCTACCGTCCTTCTGTCTGGAATATTGAGGACAAGAAAACATACTGGCTGAGCGACACGCCTGAGAAAGTTGGTTCCAGGGGATGGGACGCCGCATTTCCAAGGATTGTCACCGTCGCGCGCTTTCAACATGCCGCTACGGGCAATCGCATGGTCTACATGTGCACACATTTCGACCACAAGGGGAAGAGAGCTCGTGCTAATTCGGCAAAACTAATCACTGATATTGCTGAGACCTGGTCTATACTCGACGGTGAGACTATACCTGTCTTTATCGGCGGCGACCTCAACTCCTCCCCCAGCGGTGCGGCTTACAAGCATCTCGCCAAAACCATGAACGACGTGAAGAGCCTTGTCCCTCAGAGTAAGCGCTATGGACATTCGTCGTATACTTACACTGGATTTACTACAGTCCCATGGGACGACATGTACCTCGATCACATTTTCGTGCACGACCCGACCGGTATCGAATTCAAGGCCTTTGCGGTGGTTAACTCGCGATATGAAGATGGGGTCTTTATTTCGGACCATAGGCCGGTGGTGGTGGACGTACGACTAAATCAGGTCAGTCGCAAGCAACGAAGGACAGGGGAGAAAAAGGATGAATTCTAGTAGACCATGATTTCTTTTGTACAACGGCGTTGGGGATAAGTTATGATATGATACCCGTGTGAGATTGTTAGATCTAAATGGAAATCACTCTACCAAACCAAATACTTCTTGCTGGCCTACCAACTACTTGTACTGACGAGCTTCTCTCTCACACCAGTCAGCGAAAGCTTTTGAGAGGCCAGTACCCCCCTCTTGTCCATTCTTCAAAGACACCTTGATGTCATCTGGGATGCATCCGATGCGACCCCAAGGGTAGATCAAGACTCCGTTATTATCGGCGGTGATATCTGGTGACAGCAGTCCGAACAGCTCACTATAAGCTCCATACTTGGGCGCTTTAAACATGAGGCCCTGCATATCGTCAACGCATTTGCCCAAGACGTAGTATGTCCACTTGCCATCATGAAAGACACAGGTCCGGGCATATGGCGCTGAAGCTCCGTCTTCAAGAACCCTGAGTTGACAGCCTACCTCGTTAGCATCGCACTGTCACTCCCATGAGGGCAAACTCACCACTGATATAATTCCTTGCGATCCCAATCGCTGAGAAGTCTCGTGGGCCAAGAGAAGATTACCGGCCTTGCTCATCATATAGTTCTCCATCTGGTCTTTGACCACTTTCGGCTCCTTCTTTACCTCATCCCAGACAAGGCCTCCCTTGGGCGTGCCCATCTGAAGAGTACTTGCAAGCCATACAACTCGAACAGCTCCCTCGCCTGCGACAACCGTGGTCTTCACCAGAAGCTCCTCGAGAAGTCGCGACAGTAGATATCCGCCCAAACAGTTTGTTCCCATCTGCAACTCATGCCTGTGCTCGGTCTTGCTACCCTCAGGAGGCATCATGACACCAGCATTGAGCACTAGACCATCGAGTCTTATTTCTTTAGCGAGAAATTGCTGAGCTGCAGGCTTGATACTTGCGAGGTCGGAAAGGTCAACACATTGCGACTCAAGACGTCCTGTTGAATCAGGAGACGCTGACTGCACCTCTTTTATGGCCGACGTGATCTTGGAATAGTTACGTGCAGCTATGTAAACGATCGCTGAGCGGGAATAGAGAATCTTAGCCAGTTCCAGACCAACACCAGATGTTGCGCCGGTGATGATGTATACCCTGAAGTTCAAGGAGGGTAGGGAAGATTCTGTGAAGGTAGGAGACGGAGGAAAAAGTTGTGTTCGAACAGTCATTCTCTAAGATGAGCTTGATATTGAGGCTATTAGACAGCGATAATGATGATGAGTTCATGGTTTGAGGAGAAGGGCATCGAGGACTTATATATCCATTTTATTTATTGCTTCTGAATGGCATTTGTCACCCTTGTCTATACACAGGGCTATTGACATTATCATTGAGGCTGGGTCGATGTCGAAACTCTGATATTAGCTCGCCTCATAGAAAGTACATGGCCAAGTTCAGGGTCAAGTCGAGGTAATGTGGGCCCCGACACGGTGATGCTCAAATTCGGTCGGAGATGGCCCACGGGATCGGCTTTATGGTATTTTGGCACCTCCAACAGGGGCCGGATTCCCGATGACCCCACCCGCGGGCGTGTAATATCATCGTATTAGATACGCGAGGTTATTATAATTGTAATCATTTCTACAAACTTAGTCAAACATTCTTCTGGACTTACGGGTGCAAGGCCCTGTGGTGAAGCTTGATTGCTTCCGATGCTCAAAATTTAATCCTGTGCTCCAGGCACCGTTTGATAACTTCCTTCAGGCACAGGAACACGAGCGCTCCGAGTGTAAATATGCTCCGCATTCTCCCAACTCAACCCCTCGACACAACCCCCTTTCACCGACAGATATGGCTTGCCTTGGCCGTCCGGCAAGACGCTACGATGTAAGACCCTCACGCCGCACGTCTTGCAAAAGTAGCACTCCAGGGTATTTCCCTCGTCTGTAGGTCGCTTCCAGACTCCCAGCTTGGACAGGACATCTTCAGAGAGAGGCCACATGTCGTCAGCTGGGAAGATGGCTGATGTACCAAAGGCAGAAGCAGATTGTTTCTGACATTCAGTACAATGGCAGCAGTAAACACTGAGGGGTTGGGGTCGTGAGGCTGTGATTTGGACTGCGCCGCACTGGCATTCGATCTTGGGATTCATTATGCTATCGATGTATCAGCAAGAAACCTCACCAAGAACCGGCGTGTCTCACATTGGTTACTAGAATCACGTAAGTTAGGAGATGATAATGGTTGAAAGGACATTTAACACATCGTCAGAGAGATGAGTTTTCTCAAATAACAGGAATCAGCCCAATCTGTCACACTTATCAGCCTCAAAGGCGGTGCATCTATTACCCCGCTCGAGTCTCAAAGCTATCGTGAAAAGGGTTAGAAAAGCATCAATATCATCTTTGCTTTCTCACATCTCCCTCAGAAACTGCCCGAACGGCGACTGAATCTCTCCAACTCCGACAGCACCAGTACGCAACTGAGGCCACGGCTCCCAACCAATAAGAGCCACGCCCGGTTAGCTCAATCGGTAGAGCGTGAGACTCTTACGAGTACGCGATCTCAAGGTTGCGGGTTCGACCCCCGCATCGGGCTGTTCCTATAATTCGATTGCGAGCGTTTGCGAGGCTTTCTTTTTTGCAAGTTTCCGTAAAGTTGCGCTGGGAAGTTCTCTCATTGCTGGGATTTCCGAAGGTTCTGAAACGTCGCTGAACCAGTCGAAGTTGAGTGAGGACTGCACGGCCCCACTCTTCAGCCAGATTTTCCGCTCTTTGACGTCACAGTCGCTGTTATTGTTGCCTGCAACACCACATGTAATCTGTAAGCCCCTCTTGGTGATGCCTTCAAGAACCTCCATCACTGCATATCAATCGTCAAAATGCCCTCCAACGGCTCGTATCAGAACTCAAACCATCCTCATGCAGGACCTTGGACAGGCCCAATCCATCGGCCGTGGCTGTACCTCAAGAGGGCCGGCGTTGCCGCGTCGTATCCTTTACGTGGCATCTGGTTCTTCATTCAAAACCGCGAGTTCTGGCCACTCCTGCTGGGAAGGATCCTGCCAATATCATTAATCTCGTTCTTGGTGTACCTTTTACTCTTCACGTTTGCCTTCTTGCCCCAGTATGCTTTCTTAGCGATCTTCCATGGCTGGGGCGCGTGGGTCAATGCTGTGGTACTGGTACTAGGCGAAGGATTGGTCATCATCCAGGGTCTGTTCGAGGGCTTCTTCGTTGACGAATGTCGAGTGGATGTATTTGATGTAAGTAATTGGACTGAGAAACGGTTGTTATTTGTAGTTCAGTGACTAACAATTGTAGGCGGCCCTCATCAAGCTTGGACATAGGGATCTTGTTGCACCACAGCGAATCCTATTCTTAGACGCACCGAACCCGGTCAGAATGCTCGGAAAGCCCACTACTGCTGCCATCTACACTCCATGGAGCATCATCCAGATTGTTGAGCTCATTGTCTTCCTGCCGCTCAACCTTGTTCCAGTTGTTGGCACGCCTGCCTTTATCATCATCACCGGAACTCGACTCGGCAAGCTCGCTCATTATCGCTGGTTCCAGATCAAGGGTTTCTCAAAGGCTGAGCAGAAGAAGGCATTGAGGGATCGCGCCTGGGAGTATGTTTGGTTCGGCACAGTCGCCATGATTCTTGAACTCATCCCTGTCTTGTCGCTCTTCTTTCTCCTGACAACTACAGCTGGTGCAGCTCAGTGGACGGCTCGGATCGAGGAGGAGAGTAGGAGCCCTGCTGAGAATACTGCTGCGAACGGTCAGACGTACCAAGATGATGCCCACGAGGACCCTCACCCCGATGCACCTCCCCCTTACACTGATTATTCCGATGATGTAGTATGAGCCAAGGATAATGAATTACCATGATATGAGTTTAATGTTATCTTGATTGTCTATTTCACCGACCTGCCATTGGGTTCGACAACTGGGCTCGATGCCAGTGTACTCATATTCTCTGCGCATGAGCCCCTTCCATTATTCTGACCACACCTAGCACATTCCCTTCACCGGAAGCAGCATCTCCAAAATGGAAGGCCTGCTGGGATCCAGAATGACTGAGGCACCAAACCTTGCATGCCTGCCTGCTGAGTGCTTCCCTCGCGAGAAATCGTCCCATCTTGCGTGGCGTTCCAGGTGCAGGACACTGCCAACAGCTGGGGAACAGGAAGGAACACTGGCTGCTGAATTTCGACTCGCTCAAGAGCCCATGTGGTGACTTTAACTGAGTTCCATGTGTTCGAAGTTCAAGTTACTAGTGAAGCATCACATCACATTCTTAGAACTTGAATAGATGGACATCTTACAATAGCAATAGAGACTAACTTAACATTAAATTGGATTACCGCATGCAAGTACAAAGTTAGACCTAGTTCTCACATTGATTGATGCGCCTGCCTCTTTGGTTGATCTGGTCCAATAGGGGGACAACTGCCGGCTGGCAACTGCCTCACGCAGTGCCCGTACTCCTTCCTCCTCTCGTCGTGACTTCCTTACCCTCTGGCTCGCGCAACTCCTCAACGCGTCATCCCCAACATTCTGCCGCTCCAGAAGGAAGGAACTCCTGCCCTCGTCCCCCTCCGCCCCGGCACCCGCCGTACATATCCTTCTCCTCTCGATCTCGTTTCCAAAATTTCTTCTTCTCTTCTTCATCTCACCTCATCTCCTTTTCTCTTCATCCTCAATCCTCCTCATCTCGAGAAGAAGCATCTTCTCAGTTCTCTCGTTTCCGTTGCATTCGTCTTCAAGCTCTCTCTTCTCAGCTTTTCTGGCAAAGCATTTTACACTTGCCCACCAACAGCAATCATCCCACACCTTCTCTTCTCCGTGTACACGCCACTCAACCGCTCGACTTTCTCCACGTCGAAGTTGATCACCCAAGATGCGTATCGCCGCGTCTCTCGGGGTCCTTGTGGCCACCAGTCTCTTGGGTCATACTGCCGCTCAGGCAACTGACTACGGGTAAGTTACAACGCGCCGCTCATCTTTGTCCCTGACTAACCTTGAATGACAGAAACCCCAACGGAAGCCCAGTTGGTAGCTCGCCTGGTGGTTCTAGCAACATCATTCCTGGCAACACCGACGGGTCTGGTAACCCTTCCTACCCAAGCAACGCTGCTGGAAACGTTCCTGGCTCCTTGCCCAGCAGCGCCGGCCCCGGCTCTACCGACGGTGGCTCTGACGGTCTCCCCCCTAATGGACCTAGTGGTGTCCCTGGTGGTGTTCCGGGAAACCTTCCTGGTAGCTCTTCTCTCAATATCCCTGGTGCTGGTTCAGTTATTGTTCCTGGCAGCTTTCCTACCAATGCACCTCAGAACATCCCTGGCTCACCCGGTTCTCCCAACGCTGGTGTCTCTGACGTCCCCACCTGTTCTCTCCGCTCCACAAAGACTGTTGTTGTCACTGTCTACCCAACAGACACTCAGGACGGACAAGATTTCCCCTGGCCTGACGATTCGGATTCTGATGGCTCAGAATTCCTATCAGCCCTCCCTACCAAGCCTGCAGATTTCACTTCTCTGATGCCTGCATCTTCTGTTCCTCCTTTCACCACGCTGACCCTCGACATTTGGGGTCCCGATGGTAGCCCTTCAAGCTCTGGTACAGGATCTGGTGATAGTAGCAACCCCGAAGATGGTAACAGCGTCGGTGGTGCCAACGATCCTAGTGATGATTCCGACAGCTCAAACTCCGGCTCCAACTCTGGGTCTGACTCGGGTGTTAGCAACAGTTCTGGGCCAGATGGTGAGAATAGCTTTCAGAACGGACCCGATTCCCCATCCTTCTCCCAGACCCCCGGTTCCAATGGTGCTCCTGGATATTCTGATGGTGCTTCTGGTGATGACACCTCTGTGGGTTTCTCTGGAGCTTCTGGTGCCAACACAGCTGCCCCCATCCCTTTCCCGACACCTGGCTCCCCAAGCAATGGTGGTGTACCAGGCAGTCAGCCCCAATTCCCTTCCGCTGTGCCTCCCCAAGAGGCGAGCGACAGTCTCCCTGTCACCACTCAAGCTGGCCCTCAAGGTCAAGGCGAGAACTCCCCATGGTTCACCAACGTCCCAGGTGGAACTGATGCCGGCCAACCTACCCCCTCTTTCATCACTATCACTGGTCAAGACGGACTACCCACTATTGTCAGCAGCGGAAGCAATGTTGGCCCCGGCCAAGAACAGCCTTCAGCTACTCCAGGTTTCACCCAGAGTGGCAACAACCCGGGCTTCCCAGGTGGAGTTCCTACAGGATTTCCACTCCCCCCTGCCGTATCTGCTGGTATCCCTGGCTCACAGGGTCCTTCCAACTCCCAGGCTGGATCTCTTCCTGGCAGCGAACCTGAGGGGGGAATCACTACTTGTGCAACATTCACCATCACTGGCACTGACGGCCTTCCTACAGTGATTGACTCAACGTGGGTTGTCCCTTCCAGCACACCTTCCTTTGAGGACTCCTCACAACTTCCTGTAACTGGCGTTCCCCAGGCCTCACTTTCTGGCATTCCAATTGATGTTGGTAGCATTCCCGCTGGTCTAATTTCTGCACCAGGTATGCCTCAGGATGGGCTTGGAGGCTCTGGCTCATCAACATGCACAAGCTACACCATCATTGGCATTGATGGGCTTCCCACGGTGGTCCACTCCACTTGGGCTGTTCCTGTAACTGGATCTGACTCTGACTCTGGACATTCATCTGGCTCTCGTGGCTCAGACTCTCCAGGAGGCTTCTTGACCATTTCCGGCCTATCAACCTTCGGCCCTGATGATATTCCAGGGTCCCTTTCTACAACATCCAACTTGGGCGGCGCTATCCCTATCACCACTTCCACAAGTTACACTATCATTGGTACCGATGGTCTTCCTACAGTTGTGGGCACCACATTGGCCATTCCTGGACCGACAAACACTGACCCCAGTATCAGCATTGGCACCGAAGGGCCATCGTGGGCTTCGGATTCTCTACCCAACGGTGCCACACCTACCATAACCATGCAGACCACTGGAGCTCCTGAACTACACTCTTCTGGCCCGTCTGATGCCTCTGGATCAGATGATGGAAGCGAAGGCATTACCACTTGTACCAGCTACACTATCATTGGACCCGATGGTCTCCCAACTATTGTCGATTCGACCTGGGTTATCCCCGGATCTGCCGACACTCAATCCGAATCACCTGGCAATCCTTCTTTTGTCTCCGACTCACTCACGTCTGGCCTACCCACTGGGAATCCTGGTCCAGTGACATCCTTCCCAAATCTCCCTTCCGATGGCAATGATGTTGGCGTGCCTGGCCTCACCACCTGCATTACCTACACAGTCATTGGAACAGATGGCCTTCTAACGGTTGTTGATTCGACATTTGTCGTTCCCACTGGTACTGCAACTCCTGCTGGAACAAGCCTTACTGATGGCCAAGCTGATTCATCTCTTGGTTCTCCTGAAGCATTCACCACTATCACAACTGCTGTCGTACTTGGCCCTGATGGAAAGCCGACACCAACTGAGCAGACCATAGTCTTCAGTGACTCTTCTGCGCTCGGCATTTCTGCTGATGTTTCCCAAGGAACTTCTTCTGGCATTACACCCCCATCTAACTCTGAGCCTATCCTCACTACAGGAGGCCTGGGCCCTCTTTCTACCAGTATCCCAACTCTCAACGGCTACAATGACGGAATGCCTGAAGAGTCCATGTCGGTTATGCTCACCGATGCTAGCGCCGATGCGCAGGGTACTTCTGATTCCGGTACAACCACTGGAACTTTCACTTGGACTGTTACTTCTGTTGTCGACACTTCAAATGGTCCCATGTTTTCAGATGGTGCAGAGCAACCTCCCTTCACCAGTAAACCATCAGGTGACGGTTCTTCTGATCAGCTTCCCCAGACTGCGTATGGTCCTGTTGCAAGCGAGAACACTCTCTGGCCTCTTTCTGCAGGCACAGCCACTCTACAGACCACTACCTGGACCAATGTCATCGAGGATGAGACCACTTCTTACACAATCGACTATCCTCTCACCACTCTTGCCACCGTCGCTGTTCACCGAAAGCGGTTCTTTCGCCGCCAAGGCATGTCTTGGTCTAACTCTACTGCCTCTGACTCCAGTGTGACTTCTCCCACGGCCACAGAAACGTCTTCCAAGGCCAGTTCTCCTTCCATCTGTGCAACAGGAAGAAGCATTGGAAATACCACCATTGATGTAAGTCGTCATCTACTCACATATAGTTCTTTGTTAATCTTTTTCAGTTCGATAACTCCAAGCCCGGGCCTCTCTTCAACCCCGTTGAGAACATCTGGTTTTCAGGAGGTTTCCTTATCGCACCCCCTTCCTCTAGGCAATCTCAACCATACATCCCTACTTCTGGTGGTCAGCTGGTGGAGTTTGTTCCCCCAGCACTCTCCAATACAACATCTACGATCTCAGGAAACGTCGCCCAGATTGGCGTAGGCCCCCACGCCGCCAGTCCTTGCTTCCGATTCGACCTCTTTGGAGCCAGCCTTGGATGTGATGCAAGTGGAGACGAGAAGTGGTGCGAGTTTGAGATCTCAGCCTACCGCTGGAATGAGACTTCGTCTACCGAAGAGTCCATCGCTTGGTCGGAAACCAAGCAAGTACCGGCTTGTCCAACATTTTCCGAGGGCGGCTACGAGCTGACCCGCGTTGACTTGGTTGGCTATACAGACCTCTCCTCGGTTCTGATCACCGTGCGCGTTTCTCAAAATCTCCGTGTCTGGTGGGGTGATGACTTCCGTGTCGGCTGGACTGACAACAGCTGTATCGCTGCCTCTTGCCGTACCAACGTCCCATCTCAGTTTGTCAAGCGGGAGACTGTTCTCTCTGCCCTTCGACAAGGTGTCTACCAGTGGACGCCTCATGAGCTCAAGCGTCTGGAAGACAGTCTGGTTTAGGAATCTGCCAACTGAAGAATGTCGCGATGCAACGAACTCTATTTGTATTGAAAGATGGCGCTTTCATGTCGAGCGATTTGCTCTGTATTATTGTCACAATTTGAAACTCATTTTCTTGGACGGGAGGTGTAATGGTTGATACTGGGACATGGGTTTACTTGAGAGGTAGTTAGATGGATGGGAAAGCATCATGTCAGATATGATCGGATAACCCTTGTTTGCCCAAGTAATTGAGATAAAGATGTATCAACTCCCTGCATCTCAATGCGTGCCCGTAAAACGATGTTGACTGGTAAAAGTTTATGGTGATATACGTTTGTGAGATAAGGCAGGGGACAGCAGCCTGACTGGAAAGTCCCTTATCATTTCTTCCCTGTTCAGAATGGCTTTGAGGGCCTGCTGTAATAATTTTATGATGGAACATGAGTTCTTCAAAAAGAAAAAGAAAAGATATATTATTAAGAGCCATAAGATCTTCACACGGTCGTAATGAGTTCTCATCATCAAGGGGACATTTTATACAGAGATACGTGACATTTCGAGAAGATTATCACTCCTCCTATCATGAACTCACACACATACTACAGAACTCGCACATATATTACACTAAACCGTACAGATGTCATGAGACATGACCAAGACCTCATACCAAGCCATCTATATTGTCATAACTTAAACCATTGTCAAATGAGATGATTTCCTTCCAAAACTACTCTCAATCACTTGATGATGCGCTGGCGTACTCGGACTCGTCGTACTCGATTTTATCGTCGTCGCTGGAGTCATTATCTCTAGCCTCGTTGGCACCAATGTCGTCGACGCCGTAGTAGCCATGGTCATCCTGCCCGTCGTTTTCAGCTGAACTGGACAATGGAATTGGTGCCAGCACAGTCTCTTGAGAAAGACCATTCTCTATGTCTGCTGCCTTGAAGAAGACATGGTCCTCTTGGAGACGCTTGCCCTGACTGACAAAGCCCATGGGGCTGTGAGCGAAATCCTGCCCACGGCGACGGACTGCTAGCCACTCTTGTAGAAATGTCAGTGGACTTTTGGTGAGCTTGTGCTCGAGGTCAGTTTGTGGCTTAGATATCTCTGTCTCAGCATCCGTATCGGTCTCAGTAGGTTCTTCATCCTGTGCTTGGTTGCCGAGCTCGCCATTCTGGATCCCAAGTAAGGAGCACATGGCATCGTATTCGTCCCACTCAAAGTACAAGCGCCCGGCGTAGATTCCCAGCTCAACCTGAAACCACTTTGGAGCTTTCCAGTCATTAGGGAGAGGAGGAATGCTATGGAACGTCAAATCGTTGAATCGGAGCATTTTTCGTGTGATTGGTACAGAGTAAACTAGAAGGTGCGTGGGAACGCCTGAATTTCGCATGATGGGAATCAGAGCCTCGGCTTCTTCGGGCATGATAATGACAGCGATCTCGGCGACAGAGCTCCAAATGATCCAGTTAACGGGACGCTGAGGCTTTGTTAGTTCTATAATCGTCAGAAAATAAGTGAGTAAAACACATACCAAGAAGTCATCGGTAGAGAGGTCTCCCTTGGGCTTGATAGTTCTGCCAAACTCGGCCGTCTCGAGTAATTTTGATTTTGTTATCTTCGGTTGCACTTTGTACTTGCGACCAATTCCTGTCTTTGACAGGGCATGGAAGACGTGAGTAAAATAATTCGTGTCTGCAGGAAGCCTTCCAGTTCTGATAAAAGCCTCGAGGCTGGCGTTGAGACCTGGGAAAGAGAAAGCAGCAAAATGTTGAGGCTTCTTGACCTGTCGCACTGATTCAACCTCGAAGGCAACCTCTCTCTCCTGCTCGACTTCCTGTAGAGCAGAGGCATGAATGGCTCGGCCAGTGTCTTGAAAGGTCTTGCGTCTTGCATTGAGATCCCGAATAAAGCCTTTAAGCACCACGTTGTTAGATGTCTGCATGCCGACGGCGCGGTTCTTTATTTTCGGCTCGTAAAGATTCTGCAGGCTCTGCTGTTCGTCCTGCTTAATCGCCTGTACATACGCTTTTCGCTGAGGCTTGTCGGTTAAAAAGTTGGGGTGATCTAAAGCGGCCTGCATTCGACGGCAGTAATCCATGCCCTGTGAATAGTATAAGGGCTGCAGCTGCTCAATTTGGTCACATGTGTTGTCCAAAAGCCATTCGACGACATCAGCTGAGTCAATAGGTTCATGAATAGTCTTGTTTTGCAGGTCTGAGATGCTTTGGTGGACCTCGGGAGGGACAAAGAAAGAAACAACCTGAGTTGTTCCCAGTTGTCGTAGACGCATAGCAGCTACGAGTTTTTAGCGACTCGATCTTAGAAGGTTTTGATAACAACATGCCAAACTCACCTTGAACAGTGTGGTCCTTGGTCTGGCCTAGACGAAGAGTGAGGGCGCCCTTAGCTTTAGGAGGGAGCCTAAGATCAGTGCCACGGGTGTGGGCCTCATCAAGATATACCAGACAGTTTGAAAGGTCATCAGCAAAAGGTGACGCGAGAAGGGGCGTTCTTCTTCCTTCCTTGGTCAGAATCCAAGGTTTGTTTTCTTCGTCAAAGTACAAGCCTGCCAAAGCGAAGTGGTCAATCTTTAGCCACTGTTGAACCAGAGTGTAGTTGTCCATTTCCAAGATCTGGGCTCCTGCATCGATCAAGATACGGATGGAGTTCGACTTGAGGCAAAACAGGAGATCCATCTCGGTGGCTCTGCCCATGTGTTGAGTTTTGACATCCTGAGGTAGAATGCAACGACGATTTCGAGGGTGAAGAAGATAGGTCAAAACTTCAGCGCTTGTGTGATGAAGACTCGGCAGATCTTGTTGTTCAATGTTCAAAGGAAGCATTGTTCTGTTGTCGTTGGTACCACTGAAGCCTGTACTCAGCGGTTTGCCTGTCGTCTCTTTGTCATTCTCCGTTATACTCCCGAGGGGTGACAGTGGAATGTCCCAGCCATTGGCCTGAAGTTTTACCTCAAACTGCTTGGCATGCCGTGGAAACACGAAATTGTTCAAGAAATAATCGATGACTACCTCATTGTACCGCACAACCTTCCAAATCTCCCCAAGTTGCATCTCATCATCCACGTTGATTGAATTCCAGGCCTTGAGGGAAGAAGGGAAATTTTCAGAGCTCTGGGTCCAGTTATCGTATTCGGTTGACGGGTCGTCGGACTTGAGGATATGTTCAAGTGATTGTCGAAGTTGAGCTAGATTTATGCCATCATAGTAGAACGCCAAACAAGTGAATAGTATTGCGACGTCAGGATGACCCCACTCGGATTGATCGCTCGGAACACCTTTGGCGTGAAAAGGCACTGCTATGGGATCGCGGTGCGGATGGAGACTGTACTCTACATTCCAGCGCTTCTTGAGGGTCATCATTAAAATGCGATTGACGAGGAGACCTCGGAGATGATAAATCGTTTGCTTTAAGCTAGGCTTGTCTGGCAAGAGATTCCGGATGTGCTCTATACTTGTAGCACTAGGTCGAGCGTGCATGAGAAAGTCCTTGACAGCGATTCTGTCTTTAATTGTCATTGCCTGTTCAGTAAGAGGCAGAATCCCACCAGCACCGTGACAAATGTCTGCTGTAAGCCTTCGCACCAGCTCATCCTCAACATCTTGCCTGAGGAAGAACACAAAGGGAAATCCGCCCCCGTTTCGTCGAATAACGCTAATGGAGTGAGGAAAAGACCTTGATAAACCATACAGATGATTATCAACAAGTCTCATCACGGCTTCAGCCACAAGCCAGCGATGTGGATGCCCATCAACTGTAGTCTGAGCGCCAGATGGGTAGATAAGCTGGGTTCTCACTGCGAGAGTATAGTCCGACTCGTCTAGGATATCTCTTGACACCCTTGTGAGCCATTCTTGGACCTTGGTCATAGGTCCTGCCTGCGCTGGCTGCTCATCCAGGAGTCGCTGTCGGCCGCTAAGCATGAATGACATCTGGTGTTCGGGTTGGCAGATCATGACACCTCCAGACTTGAGCATATCTCTGTGGATCAAATGATAGGCTCGTATATTTTTCTCGGTAGTGGGAGTTCGACGTGAGAAGGGGACATGCCGAATGCCCCTTCCAAGGATACCACCGAGTCTAGCCTGCAACAACTGAGCTGTTTGTTGGAGCAGAGCTTTTGGTACAATGACTCGCACAAGCTGTTTCTTGTTAGCAAGTGCTGCCGCAGCCATAGGGATAACACAGGAGGTTTTCCCTGTGAAACTGATTAGAACTCAAAATGGCTAATATTCTTCTCTTCCAGGGACAACTTACCTTGGCCCATGTTCATCTGAAGCACAGAATTCGATCCCGAACCAGGGGAAATTGTGGCTAAAGCTACATCAACTTGAACAGGACGAATCATCATATTGGACTCTATTTCTAACAGGAGCCAATCTGGATGCTCTTCGGGCTTCCAATTCGAATGTCCCTCGTTTGACTCCTCTTCATGGTATCTTCCCGATATGCCTTTGGACGCTAGATCATGCAGTCGGACCTGTCTTTGGTATTTCGTAATGTCAACTCCCATTTCTAAAATGGCCTTTCTCATTCCACTTCCAAATTGTGTGACCTCAGCAGCCGATCCGAGACAAGAAAGCAGCGTAGCCTTGGTCACAATCGGCCACAGGTTTCCTGCTTTGAGCCAAAAGATCCTTCTTTGTGAGAATATTCCACTTGACTCCAAGGCTGTACAGATCGCCCCGAAGCCGCCCTCGACCTTCTCCAGACTGGAGTGCATCTCAACTTCTCGAGATTTCATCGACTCTTTGAAACCGGTCAAAGGAGTGTGCTGGAAGGCGGCGAGACTCTTCTGGAAGTCCGCTGCATAACGGCGCCGAACAGCCGACCGAGATGCTCCTAAGCGTTGGGCTATGAGATTCAATTTCGTACTGGATTCTGACCTCACAGTCGATTCTGACATATTCTTATCCGTTTGGGCATTATGGCGCCTTGCGAGACCAGGCCAGAGTGAATTGGCCCCAGAACCTGTGTTTCTTTGCCAAGAGAAATTGCCGAATCCAGGGAAAAAGTCCTTCTCACTCAAAAGTGGTCGATCCACCGAGGCTGCAGAAGGAATTTGATTCGTACTCGTCGTGACCTTAAGAATACGATACGGTTTGGCCAGCAATTGCCGAAGGTCGACGGTTTCAGTACCATCTCGCATTCTTACCGTGTAGGTCTCCTCGGATAAGGGAACCGTAGGTGGTTCATATCGGTCTTCTAGGCTTCGTCTATCAAGAATTGTCTGGACCTCTTTGAGATGCTCAGTGAGGTCTCTGTTCATGAACAGGCGCTTCCATTCGGGACGAATAACTTCCAGCGCAGGGCCGATGTCAATCAGCACAGACCGAGATAGGCCACTGACATTTGGCTCCAGACAAGGCCATTGGCTGAGGAGGTGGTTGGCCAAGTACTTGCAATCTTCCTCAACTTTGGCTTCGTGTTTCGCTTGCTCGATTTGCAACTTGCGTAATAGTTTTCCGCTCGAATACTGCCCCAAACCCATGGCATCGTTCTCTGGCGCAGCAACTCTGTAGGGCTTCAGCAGATGCAGAATGTAATCAAGCTGTGGTGCCTGATTCGGTTGGAAATGATCAAACTCATCCCATTTGGGCAATTCAAGATCCTTAAGATCACTGAATACCGCAGACGCAACAATGGTTCGAAGAAGTGGCATATTTGCGTCGATATGGAACGACATTGGCCCGAGTAAGTACATGAGCTTGTATCGATCCGTTGATTCACGGGAAAATCGGACCAACGACCCCCAATGTTGAAGGATATTAACCTTCAACTTCTCATTGATGGATGTCCCACTGAAAGCCGATGTAAATCCACCAACAGTGCTGCCCTGTGAGAGAGTTTGAGCAATACAATCTGTCGTCCTGAAGCTCTGGGGCCATTTCAGGATCAGGTTTGTGACCTCAAGCACATTACGATACATGATGTTGACTGTTGAGGGGCGATCTCGAGGCATGTACTTTTGGTTAGCTAGTTGTGTGCAGCTGGCCGTATTCCCTGAACACCTGGTAACAGCACTTTGTCGAAACATTGCTCGTGCATGGAGATGCACATCTCCTGAAGAAGGGAGCTCTGGCATCTTCACAGTAACCTGTTCTTTGGCTGCAAACATTCCTAAAGTTGCAGACTCCCGAAGGATACGATCCACGATTTGTCTATATGCCGAGTTTTGAAGAATGGCAGGCAGGGACTCAATCCAGGTATCTGTACGCATAACCTTAAGATCTTGTGGATAGTACACTCTTCTCGGTGTTAGCCCAGCTATCTTGTGCAGTACCAACATAGAGGGTGGAGTAAGGGGGGACCATGGCTGAGATATGCCCGCTTGAAGCCACTCAATAGCTTCTTCAGTTCCAGTGCGGCCTGTCAGAGGATCAGGCAGAAGAAAAGATGTACATGCATGAAGAAGAGCCTTAGTAAAAACCAGTGTGGGCTCAGGCGCGCAGTCGATCCGTCCAAGTGTGCTGTTGATGTTGAAGCTTCCAAATTTATCTGAGGGTTCGACCCTCACTGTTACATGACACCCTTCTGACCGAGCAGAGACGGGCCCGAGAGGCACCAAGATAGACCTGTGCATCGGGTTGGCAAGGCTAGTGCATACCAGTTTGCTGCGGAGCCCGTACCAGGTCCCGGCATCTTGGTCCTTGTCGATTTGGCATTGTAGCTGAGGCGATTGAAGTAGACGGTTCTTGTTAGTGTGGAACACAATGTTGAGTCTTGGAAGCTCCACGGTAAGGTTCCGGTCTCCCCCAGGTTGATACACAGTTATCTGGCTGCGATCTTCAAGTGAGTCTAAGATTCGGCTAATACGATTGAAGAGTGGGCTTGACGGGTTGACAATATAATCCTTTGTAAGGAGGCCTCGGTACAGGCGTGTCTTCGCACATGTGTAGTCTTTCAGACTCAAAATGTACCACTTGTGAGGGTCATCCGGCCAGGGTCTGTCCTTGGAGGTTATGAAAATGTCTCCGGTTCTTAGGTGCATCCAATGAAAGCAATTGTGCAAAAGGGGACCCGGAAGATCTGGGTAGTCGCCTTGAAAGATCTCACGTGGGATCAACTGCAGTGCATAGTCTCGTCGGAAAGCTCTTACAATCAACTCCTGCGTTCCACTACCATATCCCACATGGACTTGATATCCGTGAGGTCTCACGCATAGAACTGTTTGACTATTAGCATACAGCACATTATTCGATAAGTCGACAAGGTGCACTTACTGTACTGCATCTCTGGGCGGCGCGACGGGAATGTCAGGAGAGCCTGGTTACCAAAAAGTTCGTTCAGAACAACGGAGTACTTCGGGTCTTCTGGAAGTTTGCCCATCGGTTGGCTATCGACAAGAAGTAGCCCTCTAATACAGTTGAATGAAACAGTCTGCTCGATTGAGTCAACACTGTCACCTGTCCTAGAATGGCAAAATACCCGGTCGGGCGCTTCTGGGTCCAATTTCACTCCCAAGAAAACTCGAGGACACCCTTCTTCCTCGGGCCACATCTCACAAAGGGATCGTCGGAAGACTTCCAAGTCGTCAACGATTCGCTTCGACACAACTGGGGCAAGTCGATATGAAAGTCGGATATCTCGAATGATTGCATGCTGGAGGAGCTGGGGAAGCGCCTCTAGCTTAACCACAAGGCTGTCATTTACCGTGATACTGCTCTGGATGAAGATCTCGAGAGACAAATCGTCGAATTCAAGACGGCCACAGGCCAGAGGCACATATGTGCGTTTACACAACAGAGCAGCCCAAAGACCGTACTGTTGGAACCGTCGTGCTGTCTCGGCTTCGACAACCTTGTAGGATTCAGCACGAAGGAGCTTGAACCAACGCACACATGTGTTCCTGGCACGTATCAAAAGGGAAATTGTCTGGTCGGAGATCTTGGGCATACGTGCTGCCCAGGAAAAATCGAGGAGACGGAGGGTGAAGGTGACGATGGTTTCCATCAGGTAGATTTCTCTCCAATTAGCCGCCAGGCTGTCCAAGCGATGTGATATTTGCTCCATGAAGGTCTCGCAGAATGAACGGTCACGGAAAACCTCATGGATGATGCGAAACTCACTCCTGGAATCATCCAGGGGCCCGCACTGAAGAGCCAGATGAGTGACGAGTGACATGGTGGCTTCATTGGAGAAGTTCAGGTTGGCCGATGCTAACTCGGCAAGAATAGATAGCCAGCGCCTGGACTTTCCAGATGCAACCGTCTGAAAAGCAAGATATTCATGAATATTGATACCCTGTGGGCATCTAGAAGCTGTTGCCATGATTTCGTAAGAGGATGGCCCGTAAATACTCTTGAAGAAGGCAGCGTCTGGCTGCGAGAACGGGGAAGAATCGGGTATCTCTAGCTTCACATGATGTAAGAAGCTCAGATGACCCCGACGGCTGGGCCACTGTTTCGAGTTTTTATCAGAATATGCCAACTTCAATCCGTTTGGTCGACAGACACCGTATCTGCCGTTATCCCATTCGATAGGGAATGCTAAAGAGTGGTAGTGGGTAGAGACAACTGTTCTAAAGTTAGCTGGGTTTTGCTGATGATTCAGTTTCAATATTAAATATAGGTTAGGCCGAATAGAGCAACTCAGATCCAAATTTATCGTTCGAGTTTAGGGCAAACTGTGTGGTTCTTTTCGGACTTGGAAAGACATCCTGAAGGGTGGCTGGGGGGGTAATGGTAGTCTGAATACTTACAAGGTTTAGTGACCGATGCCAGAGAGCAGCTCATTGATGAGTCGTTGGCATACTTCTGTAGCTGTTGATAGTCTCGCGCCCAGCACTTCGGGTCAACGCCTTCCTCTGCTGGTAGGGCTATCGACATAACGGTCCATGTAGCATCTCGATATTTCGCCAAAGTCTGAGGGCAAAGCAGCTCAAAAACGACAGCTCTCGCGACATGAGGATCAGAAGGAAGTGGATGCTCGTAGGCCTGGATACTAATTCTCTTCAACTGCCGCTTCAAGTAGCAGCGACGACAATCGCGGTCATGATAAGGGGGCAAGTGGGGATTGTCCTCGTCCACCATGTAAACGCATGTGCTCTCATCAATAACTTTGGATAGTCTTGAATACTCCTCGCTTTTCGACTTCCATTCCTTTTCTTTTATGTCTCGCAAATGGGTCGCCCACGCCTCTATTGACTCATGCAAGTCGTTCATCTCATCAGACATGTCAGAGTCATCATAGAAGCGATGACCAAATGATCCACGGACAGGATCGTCAAAAATGCTGATTGTTGAACCTTGGCAAGCAGCAATGCGATCCTGTAGATAGACCTGGATCTTCTGCAGCCGCTTCATATCATCGAAGGCAGAAAGTAGCAGGACATCAAGCATCTCAGGTCGAAATACAGGGTGGAAGTCGCTGAGGAGTGGGTACATCGCACAGGCTGCCTTATCCATGGTAACCCATAGATCCATGATGTTCAAAATCAGTGTACTCTTGAGTTCGGGGATGCCATCGTAGGCCCTGAAAGCTTGTCGCAGATACTCGTTGATCAAAGAAGCTGCGTCTCCGACTTTTGAACGTGGAAGGAAGCTTTGCTCATGGCAAAAACTGGTAACGGTGAGTTCTTTGTCAATTAACTTGAAGTGCTCGCGAGCAAACGAGCTAAGATGCTGCTTCGCACCCTGTGCGACATTCGTGGTGCCTTGTCGCCCAGGATTGAACTTGAAAGGCTTTGAATAGCCTCTCCAGATTTTGTTGAGGGTAATCCCGCTGATCTTCAGGTTCAGCTTCATATCTTCGAAAGAAGCTTGCTTCGGTAGCGGGGGTATCGTTTTGGTCATCGTCAACTTCTGGTGCTTCCACGATACTTCGATGAAAGCATTTGCCTTGGAAATTGAATTCTGGAATCCGGGGCCGAGTTGGGTGAATAGATACTCAATCCTCTGGGCCAGATCTTGAGACCGATCTTTATCTACTTCCAGCTTGACCAGCCGTCGGCAAATCTTTTTCTTGAGGAAATCGAGACGGTCAAGGCGTATTCCTCCTGATTGCTGTACATGTGTGAGGAATTCACTGAAGAGGTGAGCCAACAAAAACTTGTACTCAACTCGCCCAATTTCACCCAAACGTTGAGCGAGGTATCGAGAGATGGCAACTCGCAGCACAAGCCAATAAGGCAGTCGTTTCCATGGTCTTTCTGCGTTGTTCCACAGCACATCGTCCCGAACCATCTTCTGCAGAAGAGTTGGGGCGAGGCGGCGGCCGTTTTGTTGCAGAATAGCCATGAGCATAGAGGAAATAAGAGCAGGCTCTGATGTGTTGCGGAACTCGGGCATAGATGTTCCCGCTTTGAGCGCTTGTGCGGAGAAATCGGTGAGTGATTCTCGCGAAGCGTTGTCGAGGAAATTGGCTAGATTGGAGACGAAACCGTTCTCGCGGAATGTAGCGAGGGGGGCTGCGACTACACATCCAGGAAAGTCCCACTGAAGCGCATTTTCAGTTGCTAGAACATCTTCATTGCGCGCCGAGGTCTCAAAGGCCTCGAATATGACAGAAGCGCCAAAGATAGCACTGGGTCAAGTTAGTTGAGCTGCGGTGGTTTGAAGGCGAGGTATGAAGACAGGACTTACTCTTGCGAACGGCGGATGTAAAGAGCACAGTTCTGGCTCCGCACATAGACGACCAGAAAATCTGACTCTCCAAAATCGTTGAGCTCTCGAATGAGCGCAGTTCGGTCGACGCAACCTCCTGCATGAATGCTTTTAGTGGCACGAAGGCCTCGCTCGATCAAGCTCCAAACGTAACTCTGGTCGTTTTCAGGAAGATCTCGCAAGTGCTTCACAGAAGCCAACAGTCTGTTAACCAGGGCTTTCTCAAGCTCGTCCAGATTGGAGTCCTGGCGTTGCGGGAGTTGAGGGGGGAGAACGAGGTGGTTATAAAGGGCATCGTTGAGCGACAAGGGTTTTTCGTTGTCGCTCTTGCCCTTCCGAGGGGGAATAGAAGTCACGGGGGGAGGCATCGCTGCTAGCACCTAAGGCACCGCGCTTCTACCAATAAAGTAGGCGATTCAGGTGGGTAAGTTACCTAGATAGATCCCTGAGGTGATTCAGTGTCAATATAAGTTGTCTTGCAGTTGTAGTATAGCTCAGTACGCGGCAGTCGAGGTTATACTCGCGATGCAAAGGTAAGGAAGATGAAGGTGAGGGCGAAGTTAAGAGAGAAATGAAGAGAAATGAAATGAACTGAGCGAAGATTTTGTTTGGAGAAGAAAATCCAACAATGCCAAGGGTGGGTGAATGATTCATTTACCTTGTGAGGCTGCTGTCGTTTGATGATACTGGCACTGGCAGCAACTGTCAGTGCATGTGGTAGCGAGACGGCCTCCCATTATCTCAAACAATATCAAAATAGAGCAAGTTATAGGTGCCTACCTAGGTTTTCAGGTAGTTGAGATAGTTTCCTTGATACTTAGTAAATCAGTCGATAGATATCAAAAGCGTTTCTGTAGTTGAAGTCAAAGTGGGCCTCCAGACAGGATGGTTGAACCAGCAAACAAAAGATGAACGATATCGAAAGTGAAGCTACATTTTAGGTATCTATCCAAGTACACATCTTTGACTTGAAAATGGTTCGCTCTGTGGCTGGCTGCCTTGCAGCAAATTGCAGGCAGGGGGCCAAGTGCTGGTGGCCGTTTATGAGTCGGGCGGCCCTCAAAAGACGGCCTCCTGCAGACGGCCAACCACAGCAGACGCGTCAGGTTGATTAGGCCGTAAGAGATAGAATGTAATCGGGAGGCCTTAGGAGTTCATGTATACCTAGGTACGTGCAAGGGATCAGGGATATTGGAAAAGTGCATATTCTAACCTGCCAATCACTTTCCTTTACCATAGATTGCTTTGACCTTGACTAACTCGAAGGTTCTCTAACCTCGGGGATAGATGTAGTAAAGTTGCGAGTACTCACATTGTTACAGATTTACCAGTATTTGCATAAATATTCATCATCCGGCCAAACTGTTGAGTTTTTTTTTCTTTTTCTTTTTTGTGATCCTCCGAACTCTGGGATGAACATTCTCACACTTGACTACCTTACCTTCATAACAAGACCCATTCGTCTCCTTTCATCTCTCCAGAGAACCATCCCACCAAACACACTCAAAAAAAATCTCTCCCTGTCTAAACAATCCCATTGTTCTATCATCTGATTTTAAGTCAGGAGTAACTAGCAACAGGATCACCCAAAACATCCAAACGAGGCGCAACTCCCAATCCAGGCTCCTTTGGTGCATGAACCCTCCCATTTCTAACCTCAAAATCCCCGTCCGCCGTCTTCACAGTAACCATATCTCTACACTCCAAAATACATCTCAGATTCCTCTCCGGGATAGTTTGCCCAAGATGAACAATCGCCGCAAAAGCAATGTCCGATCCGGTGGTCTCCTGACAACTCATGGTATAGCCCGCCGCAAGAGCAATATCCCTATGTCGTCGACTTTTGGTCAAACCGCCGTTCTTTGAAATCTTGATCCCAAAGCCTTCGGCCGCGTCATCTGCTATCATCTGGATTATCGATGCGTCTGTGGTGGCGAGCTCGTCGAAGTGAATAGGCACATTGCTTCTTCGACGAAGGGAGACGATTTCGCGCCATGTGGCACAGGGGGCTTCGAGAACAAAGTCCAAGCTGGGCGGGAGGAGCCTCAACATGCGAAGGGTGTTTTCAACGGTCATGCCACCGTTGGCATCTACCAGGAAGAACTCCCCGGGCTGCTTACCAGCGAGCGAGGCAGTTATTCGCTGAGCATCCTCACCGGGGTCTCCGCCGATCTTGACGGAGTGTCCGATGAATCCCCGTGCTCTATGCTCTGCAACACGCTTTCGCATATCCTCGGGTTTGTCCATGTAGATTGACGAGATGATAGGCAGACCAACATCAGTGCGACCACCAAGCAATTCGCAAACAGGCATTCCCACTGACTTGCCGAAGATGTCCCAGCAGGCAATGTCGATAGGAGTTTTGGCGTGCTCGTGACCGGTCAGAGCAGAGTCCATGGCTTCGTTAATGCGGTCAACTCGCCTTGGATCCAAGCCGATCAGCCAGGGAGCGATCTCGGCAATGCCTGCTCTCACGCCAAGAGCATGCGAGGCGATGTAAGTTGACCCGAAAGGGGTGCTCTCGCCCCATCCTTCGATACCAGTATTTGTGGTTATTCGGACAATGGTTGCATCAAAACTCCTATACTCTCGGCCGCCTGACAGATAGTAAACGCCCCCTGAGTAAGGGAGGTCGACTTTGAAGACGTCTATCTTTGCTATCTTGAGCTCAGACATCTTGTTAGGCGATGAGTGGAGAGAATTGTGTAGAACTATTGGAAGAGGGCATGTGAAGAATAATTGAATGAGCTAGCTAGGACATGGTGTCACACTTCTTATACACACTGGTCTTACCGATGCACCTCTGACAAAACGAGCCTACTTCAGATTCCCCTGTACCCCAAGCATGAAGCTTCGACGCCACGGATCCAGAGAATGCCGATCTATCAACGGCTTCCCCTCATTCAGATAGGAATATTCTTTAAACTTTCCTTTTTCGGTCTGTGAGTTTACGGAGTTCTAAAGGAGATATCATCTGAATACCAAAAAGGGAAACAGGAGATATACTGGTATGTTCTTTGGTTCCTAAAGTATGGTATCTGCGGGTTCCTGTGCCGAGATAATACAGGGTTGGGCGATGGTGTAAGTCAGCTGCCTCGGGGGTTGAGATACTGTTCAACAGTAAAAGCAGGAATTGATGAATAGGCTATATCAAGTTTTATTAATTTGACTACTTGTTCCAAGTTAAAGATTTTAAAGAGATTTGACCTAAGTTCGTTCACATTCATTGTTTCCATTGAATCGCATCATTCAAACATTGATCATGTTCGGGAGTGGCAGCCAAGTTCTGAGTATGTGGATACCCTACGGGTGAGGAAACCGACATTAGCCAAGACCAGACACTTCTCGAAGCCTTGGTAACCAAAACAAGAAAAGATTTAAGGAACATGATTCAACTACAGCCAGGTCGTAATGTACTCATGATATCATACCAAGGTTAGTTATAAACGAGGTTACCCCACATGGATCTGTCAGCAACAAGACGCCTCATCACGACAACCGCAGTATAAGAACAACAGTCTCCCGCTCCGAGATCAGGGTATGACAGCAGTATATCTTCATCCCTGATACACCACATTACTCAGAAGTACTCTCTTCATAGCCAGAAATGTCTCAACCAACTCAACGTCATGCCTGGCGTCGAACAGACGATTATACAAAAGGCACCCCCAAAGTGAAACTTGTAACAGAAGATCTTCCTCTCCCTCTCCATCCAACAGCCGTTCTCATCAAAGTGCACGCAGTTGCTCTCAACTATCGCGATGCCAACATAGCCAATGGCGGTAACCCATGGCCTGTTACTCCCAATGGTATTCCTGGCAATGATGCCGCCGGTGAGATCGTTTCAGTCGGGAATAGAGTCTCGCTCGTCAAGGTTGGCGATCGTGTTGCTCCGATCACGGACTCAGAATTTGTTAATGCTCGCTCGACGGGAAGGTCTTGGCTCGCGGCCAATGAGGATGGCATCTTGGCCACTTACATTATCTTTGATGAGAAGTTGGTCACAAAATTACCTGAGCATCTTGATTGGGTTCAGGCTTCGATCATTCCGTGTGCTGGAACGACCGCTTGGTCTGCTCTCAAGGGCGCTAATATCGGACAAACAGTTTTGATCCAAGGTAAGTCCCCTCGCAGAATATCAATACAGAGGCAATAATTAACAAATCTCAGGCACTGGCGGCGTTTCCACTTTTGCTCTCAAGCTGGCTCGCGCTTCAGGTCTTCGGGTCATCCTTACTTCCTCAAGTGATGAGAAGTTAGAACAAATCAAGAAGCAATTCGGAAAGCCAGAGATCCAAACCGTCAACTACAAGACCCACTCAGAATGGCACAAGGAAGTTCTCCGTCTAACAAATGGTGTCGGCGTTGATCTCGTCGTCGAGAACGGTGGCAGCAGTTCTCTCGTTCGGTCCATGGAGTGCACTCGACGTGGAGGCATTGTCAGCCAAGTTGGTTATCTGGGCGGCCCTAAACCTGAGCATTTAAAGGAGTTTGTTTCCACTATCATCGATCGACGACTGAACGTTCGCGGTATCAACGCGGGGTCTAAGGATGATCAGGATGAACTTATGGCTGCCATCTCTGCGACACAGATGACTTTCGAGGATATTCTTGACTCGACTTGGTCTTTCGATAAAGCAGAGGAGGCAATCGAGTATGTTTGGCAAGGCAAGCAGGTCGGAAAGGTTGTCATCAAACTTGATGACTAGACAATGATTAATTGTAGTTCATTGAAGCCAAAAGTTAAGCATTGTCGGAGAGTCGACAAACCTAAGTAATTAGTCATAGCAAGAGGAAGAGACATTATTCGAGTTTCATGAATCAGTTATACATGGCAAGTAACTACAATGGGCATGATAGATGCTCCAAATCGATTCATATTGAGATAGTTAGACAACCTGTTAGTTGATCAAAAAGGACAAATACAAAAGGCCAACTTACCCCTTTCTATCTTTTACACTTACTTACCGTTCCAAACCAAGACCAACTCAGCACTTGTCAAACCAACCGGTTCCAAGTCTAGCCATCCTCTTCTTCTTCGCTGCAATAAGAAACGATGCACCCAACAACATAGCTGTACCAGCAAACGCCTGCGCACCTTTGAAGCCATGCTCCGCATCAATAATAGCACCTGCAGCAGGTGGTCCCGCGAGGGAAGCAAAACTAGCAATCGTGAAGGCCATTCCCATCCTAACACCAATCTTGTTCAAATCCTCAGTCAGCAGAGAGATACCGGTGGGGAAGAGACTCTGAATCGCGGCGGCGAGGATACCATAGAAGACGGCCCATACGTACAGACTTGGCTTGTTGGTAACCCCCATCCAGCAAAAGAGTATTACTCCAGCAAAGAAGGAGTGCGGTGCGAAGACATTGATGGCGCCTATGTGATCAGTTGTCCAATTTGCGAGCAGTCGACCAAAAACGCCAACACCGTTCAGAATCATCAGAAGATCAAGAGACTGATTGAAGGTAAAGGGCGGGTCGATAGCTGTACGAGAGAAAGCTGCCATGAAATAGTAAGCTAGATATACCCCCAGGCAAGTAAAAAATGAGGCAGTGACGTACAACACGTACTCAATATCTTTTAAGGCAGAGAAATCAATCAGGGGGCCAGATCGACGTGGTCGAAGCCGAGGCTTAACAAGTACCAGGGCGACAAGCAGAAGAAAAAGCTGCACGAAACCCACAATGCGCAGAGTCCAGCCAAAACCTACCTTTTGAAGAAGAGCTCGAACGAGGAGAGGAAACAAGACACCTCCTGTTGCACTTCCACATGCTGCGACTCCCATGGCCAAAGCCCGTTTTCTAGCAAAGAACGTCGATAGTACTGCCAGCACAGGACAGAACAGACAGCTATGCCCCAAACCAACGAGAGCACCCTGAACACCAAAGTAGTGCCAATAGTCAGTACAGAACGAAGTTACCATGATACCTGTGACCTGGAAGACGATACCACAGGCAAACACCCAGCGGAAATATCCAGCGTCGACAAGACGTCCTGTCAAGGTACCGACGAAGAATAGAAGAAAAACGCCAATGGAACCGATCCACGAGATCTTGCTTGCTGGGAGACCCAGATGCTCAGCATAATAGGCCTGGAAAATGCCAAAGGAGTTCACCCAGCCCCAGGTGTTCATATATACCAAGTGTGTGGATAGTACAACACACCACGCTCTCCATCCACCGTCAGGGGGCGGTACTGGAGCCCTGGAGCTATCTGAAGAGGCTCGGCCAATCGCCTCCTCGAGCAAACTCTGGCCGAATTCCGACACTGATTGATTCGCATGGTTAGATTGTCCCTCTGGGTTTGCCGAGAAAGGATTGTATGCCTGTCCGGCAGCATCCAGGGACTGCAGCTGGAATCCTCGATCGGTATGTGCCATATTGGTGGTGGAAGAGACGTGTGTCTCTTGGTCGTCGATCGACTGATGTATGATAAAGGATTTATTAATGAATAGCCTATGTGTAATCACCCTCGAGGCGTCGACGGAACACTGAGGGAAGATGGTGATGAGAGTAATGGCTGGACAATCCGCAAAGTTATATACTCATTGCTACACAGCGTTCATCATTTTTCCTCTTGTGTCCTTCAAATCCTTCAGAGGATTGTTCGTCGGGTCATCCACAAGTTCACCGCTTGGGCATGGAACCATTATACTCGAACAGCATCTTTAAAGTCGAACTTGGACAAAGCTATTATCGCACAGACACTCAACGGCTCAAGACTGCAACAAGATATGAAAGAAAAATACTCCTCTGAACATCGCCATCTACGCACGCTATCTTTGGTCCACATCTTGAACTCAATACATTGAGAGATCATACTGACAATACTCGATACCCAAATATTCAGCGTTTTTACGCAACCAACCCTGCCAGCCCTTTCCCGTCTCACGGATATTTACTTCCGAGCCCAGTGCAAATGCATTCCGTCCGCGAGCTCGACTCCAAAAAGATGCCCTTTCAACCGGCTTTATGTGTTCGAATGTAGTCCCTAAAACAACTGATTCGTGCATGTCCTATTTGGTTTAGTCCTTCTTATCCACTTTCCAACTTTACATGAGGATCTGTCAAGGGTGTTAGTACTCCGTCAATAAACACAAATCTACCAGCAAACTTACACAGTCACTGTCCTGTTTTCCTTGTGGGATACCCATATCTTCAAACGTTGCAGGTCCCTGTTTACCCGCTCCCTTTGGCGGCATCGTTGCAGCGCTGGGAGCAGGGCTCGGCCTGTTATCGGGCCGCTGAAATTGTGATGGAGGTGCGCTTCCAGTTCTTGGAGGACCAGATGGGCCCCCTTGAGGTCCTCCTTGAGGTCCGCCATAAGGTCCCGGAGACGGCCTGCCGCCCGGGCCAGCACCACCAGACACCATTGGCGGCTGAGCACTTGACGTTCGTGGGGGTCGGTTCGCCTGAGGTGGTGATTGTTGCTGCTGTTGCTGCTGGTTCTGGGGAAGAGAGCTCCCACGCTCGGGGCGTCCACTAGCTCCAGGTACGCGCGAGAAGCGTTCATAGTTTTGGGACTGAGGGTTTTGCAAGCCCGGTGAGTATTGGCCACCAGTGGGTGTCTTTTGTATTCCACCGTACGGTGCTCCGTTGTCTTCTGGATAGGGAGAAGGACGTCCTCCGGGACCTCCGGGTCCTTGTTGGCCTTCCCATCCAGTGGATGCAGCCCTGTTGCGGGGGTCGGGTCGGCCGGGACCTCCTGGGCCTCCAGGGTGAAGATTGCCCATCGATTGAGATTGCGGCATAGGACGAGGACCACCTGATTGGGGCTTGATGCCAAAAGCGCTTGATGGGCGATCTGAAGGGGGTCCTGAAGGGGGTCCCATGCGTCCGCCTTGATTGAAACGAGGAGAAGTAGGACCTTGGGTGTCGTCCTCGGGGTAAGGTGCGGTGGACTTGGAACGAACTGTCAGGGGTGGTGGCCGGTCATCTTCGGGGTAGGGAGCTGCCGATTGGGGTCGCACTGGGCCTTGGTTGGCATCCAATCTAACATTGAAGGCAGGAGGTCTGTCCGTTGCCGCAGGGAGTACAAAAGAAGCTCGCGAGGGGTCTGGGAAGTTGACGTGCTCCGAGACGATGGTGGGCCGTATTCCGAGAGAAGGATTGGACTGCGGATCCTGCGGCTTGGGGTAACCCGGTCCGTCTAGTGAAGGTGAAGCAGGGGCACTTCCTTCACTGAGAGTAGGCATTTGTTGTGGCTGCTTGAAGCGATCAGGGCGCTTGCCTCGCTGGGATCCGTGTTGCGACTTGATGCGGGTCAGTGTGGTAGTTTCGTGGTCAGATTTAGACAGAGTGTTATTCTCGTCCAGAGAATCGAGTCGGCCAAGGGCGTCTTGATTGCCGTGATCGGCGGCCAGCTGATACCACTTTCTAGCTTCTGACAAGCTCTTCTCAACATGGATTCCTATTTCGTTGTAGTAGCCCAAGGCAAATTCTCCTGTCGGTAGCTTAGCGGCAGCAGCCTCTTGAGCATACTTGTACGCGAGCGACTCGTTCTTCTTGAAAACGCCCTCGTAGCCAAAGAGGAACCATCGACTCACACCGAGGGCTGCCTCGGGAAGACCTTGCTTAGCTGCTAGGCCGTAGTAGTGAAGAGAGAAAGACGGGTTGAAGTCACATCCGAACTGGCAGAGTTCGTATGCTTGTCCCATCTTGAGTTGGGCCTTAGCAAACCCAAGATAAGCTGACTTCTCGATATACATCTTTGTCGTCAATGGATTGTTGGGCAACAAGCCCTCGGGGATTGTTATGTCCGGTAAGTCGCGTCCTATGAGCATACCGTAAACATAAGCACCCTGAGGGGCGTCTTCGTCGGAGCTGTCGGCCGCGGCCTGTATCCGCTCCAGACCAGTCGAGTAATCTTTCGTCTCGCCATGCTGGCCTAAAAGACTCATCATGCCCATTCGGTACAGCGAGGCTGAGTCCTTGAGGGAAAGACCGCGGTAGTAATGCTCCTTCGCCTTGGACATGTCATTGGACTGCTCGTACAACATGCCCATGCGATACTCGGATCGTCCATGACCGAGTTCTGCGGCGCGCTTGTAGCCGATATAAGCCTCGCGCTTGTCAACACGGTTACCAAACTTGCCAAACTCGAGCCATTTTGAGCGCATATATAGTGCTTCGGGGTGTTCTTGCTGCGACAAGTAGGTAATGATGTTGATTGCATCGACTCGGAGTTCGTGTTCTATGCGGGGCGTAGCAGGTCGGGCCTTTTCGCCATATTCGCGTATCATGGACTCTTGGGAAATGTCGGCCCAAGTAAGGACGTCGCGCGCCCATGTAATTTGCATTGAAACATTCTGTGAGTGAAGAACATGCTTGCGCGCGTTCCAGAGAATCTCCTCCTTTTCCTCATCAGTTGGGGGGATGTTATCGCCCTTTACCTTGGGAAAAGGCGAAAATGAGGGGGCGTCGAAGCTCATGGTGCTGAGACTCTCGGAGATCTTATCGGTGGACTGGTATGCTCGGATGTCGTCGCTTGAGACCTGTGTTGCCGGCTGGGGCCTGGGCGGGTCGGCTCCCCGAGGATTGGTGTAAGTAGAGAGCGACGGTTCACGAGAGTGACGAGGACCTGGGCCTGAATAGGTTTGTGATCGTGGTTCAACAGAAGTAGCCTCGAGCTCCATGCGCTGGAGGTCCTCTTGCATATTTTGAGGGACCTGAGGGGTTACCCTAGATACAACAACAACAAAGAAACGTCAGCATGCCCCACCTTTTCACCGTTACAACCGCATCCGGTGCTGGCAAGCTTTATTTATATAGGATCAGGCAAGGGAAAGGAGCATGGTGGTTTGGGAAATAGAAACTGGAGACCGTGCCGGAAATGGGATTAAGGGGGAAGAGCCAAGAGACATACCTTTGAGGGGAGGGAGCAACGACTTCTGGCATATAATAATCATCGAAGCCGCCGGGGACAAATGTCGCGCCTAACT